CGTCGTTTTAGGTCGAATTCTGTACAAATCTAGCCATTTTCAAGTACGAATAACTCATGCCACAACGTGTTTTGAGCGCTTGGAATAGCACCACACGCCTCCTCTTGGCTACGCTTTACTTCCTATGATGCTTTATCTCAATTTTTTTTTAGGTCGTTGCAAATTCATGAAAATCATTGTTTTTCCATGAGTATTAGCAAGGGAAAATTCTTGAAAATCAAACGATCGCGTTTTTTACGTCAAAAGTGAAGGCTTTTCCTATGATATACATTAGATCAAATTGATTGTAAAGATGAAATGCAACATTGGAAACTCTTTCTATAAGACTTTCATATGCTAAAGTTTAACATATTCACAGAAAACCTATTTTCATATTTTTGGAAATTGCTCATTATTTTGGCCTGAAAGCTAAAAGTAATCAGCACCATTCGATGCGGCTTCTTTATTAGCCCTCTAGAGATGTATTAGAAAGTTGGGTGTGATAACGACAGTTTTCATAGTCAAATTTAGCAAAAACGTTTAAAGGATCTGAGATCAAGTCAAGTTTGAACACGAAGATACCACTGCACAATTTCAAATTAAGTTGCCGCAATTACGGCTGCTACGGTACAAAACTGAGACTAAATCTACTGGTCATGACGTCGGATAGGGTGCCCTCTCATTTTTCCATGCCCTCCCTTTTTGCAAAACGCGTTTTAGTATCAAACCATGGTGGTTTTGGACACCGTTTGATTAATAATAACACTCTAGCATCCGATAACTCTGTCTTGTACTGTTGGAAGAACTTGATATTGTTTCTTTGAAGTAAAATATATTAGGTACCATTCGATAACGAGCACTGGAAGGCGTAGAATTAGCACTAGTTGAGTTTGTTTATTAGGTTTTAATAATTTTTTGCTTGCTTAAGTGAGTGCCGTTGCCATTACTTCTCTGCCATCTCTGCTGCCTGCTTCTTGGGTCTTTGTCTGGTCTCTCTTGGTGGCGTTCGTACTTCGGTTTTTCTATGGTGCTGGTGTTGCTGCTACTGCTACTGCTAATAGGTTCGTTTCTGGTCTACTGTGTTAGGTGCATGCTCATTCTCTATCTGGTGTCGCTCGTTCTTTGGTTTGTCTATGGTGCTGGTGTCGCTACTAGTACTGCAATTATGGTCTTTCCTGGTCTACTGTGTTTGGTGCATACTCGTTCTCTGGTCTATATTCGGTGATTGCGTATCCTCTGGTCTATCTACGGTGATGGTAAGTGGTAAGTATCTTCTTTCTTCTGGTCGCAATGATATAAAACTTCTTCGAACGTTTGTATTATTGCTTCCTTTCTCATGATAATGCATTCATGATGTTTTCCTTGTTGTATTTTTCTTATTCTCTTGTTAGTTGTGTTGCTTTACATCCGACTATTACCATGCATGTTGCTCATGTATGCATTTTTGTTGCAACAACAACGAGCTGTTTTGAACGTCTCTGATGTTGTACTTGTTATACTTTTCTTTTGAGTACTCACTTTGTGTGAGTATCCATTTTTGCCTACATACTACTATACTCCTATAGTAGTATGTTCTTTTCTTCTTTCTTTCATTATTATTATGTTTCTTTGAAGCATACCTTTTTTTTTACGTTGTGTGGATGTGCCTATCCCTGAAGCTCAACAAGACTCTATCCGAGGCTAGGAGGTAGATAGGCTGCCTTCACTTCGTTATCACTACTTACTTTAGTGATGATGGAGGGTCTCAATGCCAAAATTTAAAGCTAGGTGGTGTAAGTAAGGCATGCTCTAGCGCTTGGGGGAAGTTTGATGATAGCAGCGGCTATATTGCTATATTAGCGGCGCTTAAAATTTTGCCTCACATCAAACAGGGGGAAACCCTCGCAAAATTTTTTTTAGGTCAGCGGAGTTTTCTAGCGATTTGATTGGTTCAGAGGTTTAAGAACCGAAGGATTCTAGCTAGTTGATCTCCTATTGAGCTGTCATCTATAATGAGTTTATATTTGTAATAAAAACGTGGCAATTTAAAGCCTTCTTTATGCAGTGAAAATCAGGTTTAAATATATTTCACAAAAAAATAAAGCAATAGTAAAATACAATAGAAATCAACTGTATTTTATTTGTATATAAAATGAACTGAAAATCCTGAAATTGAGTAAAAAAAAAAAAAAAAAAAAAAAAGAGTATTTATACACTTGCAACTGGCTTGTAGGATTAGTGATGATAGAGAGCAATAGGTGCTGCTATTGCGATATCTAGTAAATGTTGCTAGTGTTTGATTTAAAATGATAATCAATGCAAGAGCACTGGCCATAAGGGTCGATTTGAGTAACGTTGATGGGTTTGGGTGAGTTATTGTCGTCATAGCATGATTTAATGTAACTTTGGTGGTTTAAAGTGTGATGTTTGTTATCGAAGTATGGAATCCTTTATATGGATATTGTGCAACTGTGGCAGCAGGGCATAGTTGTCATATTTGAATATGCTTGTTATTGATTTGATTTTATTTGGATAAAGATAATATCTCTCTTATTACGACCATCATGGGTGTGATTGAATATACTGTGATCAGGAGTGATTCATTCACACGATGTGCGATATAAACGTGTATCTTTAATTTAGTATGTTTAAATGGCTGTTGATGTACATTTGAGCGCTTTTATTAATAGATCCAAATAGCATGAATTTGAATGAGTGCTATTTGATGAATTTCGGTTTTCAATCAAGTTGCTATTTCATTACACTTTATTTAACAGTGTACTAAGGTGCAAGTGTTTAATCTAGCACTCATTGTATAATAGTTCGACGTGAGAAATGTCCTTTAAACATATTTATGCAAGGAAAATTATATAATAAATACTACTTCAACACAGTGTTTGCATTGCTGCTATAACAGTATTATTCTGGACAACCCATCACCAGACAATCTTTCTAATTTTGGTAGACTCAATAGAAAGAGGAATGTAAATGGAGTAAAATAGTCTTGTACAGGGAAGACAGATGTATTACTATTAGGAACAGACAGATTGGTGTTGCTATTTGCAGGTCCTTAACCTTGAGCAATATTTACTATATAGTATATGTTCATATTATTGGGCAAGTATTGCCTAAGATTAAGGATCTATAAACAGTAACACCAACCTGCCTATTTCTAGTAGTACAACATCTGTCTTCCCTCTACAAGGCCATTGTACCCTCATTACATTATAGACTGGCAGTATTAAATATAATAGAATCCGAGGAAAATAGCATGGCTAACGATAGTGCTATGTAATTTGTTACCTACTTTTCCTACACTTCAAAAGCATCTATTACTGTATTATCTTCATGATTGAAAGGGCACCGAGTTTGCCAGCCGGCCCCACCAGCAGCCAAAAATAAATCAAATGCAGACTCATAGTTTATGTTATGTCAAAATACACTAAAATTGAATCTGGCAAAGAATTACACTTTTATTGAGAATGCATCCCAAGGATACATTTATATACTTTTCATTATGCTAGAGTTTACAGCATAATAATGAACTATAATACAAATAGGTTTACTATCTACCCAACAATTGATTTGTAAATCATGATTAGCATGATTTATCCAAAGAACCTCAGAATTGCCTAAAACCTTTAGTGTGAGACCTTGCTATGACTTTTGATATAACAGTCTATTTCAGATTGGCCAGATTGATAGATTTTCTATGAAAATCATGGGGGGTGCCTCATGCTTTTTGGTCAATTTTTGGCCATGATTTTTTAGTCCCCAAAAAGTTGAGCAATAGTGTCAGCAAGTAACTATCAGATGAGAGCAGTTGTTCGGTGCTATTCTGGCCATCTAAAACGACCTTCAAAGCGAGAAAACACGATTCAAAAGCACCCAGATTTTGCTGTATCAGGGACACAAAGGACAAAAAAAGGGAAATACAAGTATGCTGCTTGCCCGTATATGACGTAGCTAAGTGCATATGGGTGTGGAGCATCACGTAAGAAACAGATCCGCAGATAATATGAAAGGTTTTCATGTGTAAGTGGAGGGTCAAAATGAGCGTAGCAATATTTTAAAAAGAGACGCAATGGCAATCGGTAGCATGAGTTGCCTTTGCGCAGGTTGGTTCTCACCGAGGCAAAGCAAAGGTAGAGAGCCATCCGAAGCATAAACACCCGTATATTATATTTATATTTCAATCATGCGGATTGAAACCTATGTAGTGCAAATCATTACAAGGAGCTTCTCTCAAACGCGGTACAATCTTATTTTTGGATACAAAGGAAAAAGATTTCATATCACACAACAAACCAAGTTGCAGTCCTAAATCGCATTTCAGAACTGAATATCGTTCAGACTGGGATCTGTCCGACCAACGTAGTGAGATTATTCATGACAGCTGAGCAATGTATGTACTTGCACCAAAATTTTCAGCATCAATGGTGCCTTGCATAGGAACTAGTAGTATCTTCAGCTGCTGACATCAGCTTCATCATTCACTACTACTGCCTTTATTTCTGTAAACAGAAATCGTAAGCCTCCCGTGTTATGTATTCAGCGAGATGAAGACCTAAATGTGCCACAGATCTCAAGCTAAAGATGAAAGTTTCTTTCCAAATAGTCTCATGAGATTCTTCGTTTGTTGTCCCTCATGATGATTGTGCGTAGGCTTCTGATTCTTGGCAAGGCCATTGCGTGTAGATTGCTCATCATCATGCATACAGCAGGTATTGGACGCGGTTTCGGTTAAATAAGAGAACCGCGTATTTCAGATCATAGTACGCAAACAACCTTTCGTATTTAAGGTTTACCCGCCACTCACATGGTTGCATTTAGTTGAAATTATGCAATTACTGCTGTATCGTGCCAAGGCAAAACATTTCAGCCTTTGCTTATCCGCGTATATTAAAACTATGCATGTCTATATTCAGCTAAATTCGTCACATTTGAAGAACGGGAGTAAATGTATAAAAAGAGGATGTAAAACTAATCAATCTTGAATACCGGGTTATTTCTTATTTTCTTATTTTTGCTTTACGCTGATCATGTCAAATATTATCACAAACAACGCCTATCTTCAAGCGCCTTTGCAGCGGGTTATTGAGATCTATCAACAGCAAATTGTTCCTCGACTCACAACAAAGAACAAGACCATTGGTATCACCGCTGCTGTTGCAATGACTCTGATCTACCTGATCAGAGACAAAATCCTCAAGCCTCCCAGAAACCTTCGTCATATTCCCTACCAGGGCTACTATGATTTTATCAAGAGCATTTACAAGAAAGAGACTTATTGGGACCGAGCTCACCGATGGACGCTTCCATTCATTGATTCTGAGTCTAGCAATGGATTATACGTGGTAATGCGGAAGGCTGATAAAATATATCATGGCCAATTAAACCCACATGCTTCTTCAACAGAGACCAGGCCGTTTTGGATTTGAGGTTCACGTAGCCAACCCTGATGCTGCCAAGAAAGTATTTTTAAAGCAAGGTAAACACAAACAAGAGGGAGGCTGATGTTTACCCGCTGCATGTTACTTATAATGATGAGCATAACGTAGATTTGTTTCCCAAGCTTGATGTGCTTGAAGGAAAAGAAGATACACTCAATGGCAAGTTTGCCAATGGACCCAATCTTGTATTTCTGAACGGACCACACTGGAAAACGCAAAGAATGGTAGCCAATCCTGCTTTCCACAGAGCTCAACCTATTCAATTGTTTGGAAAACTAACTCAAGATTTGTTTGAGCGAATGGATCGCTTGGGTGAAACAGCCGATGTGCATGACTTGATGGAACGATTTACACTTGAAGCCATTGGAAAAGCTGGCTTCGGTTAGTTTTTATTAGTTTTCAGTAACCTGATCTTGCATGGATTGACATTGTATATACAGGCTTTGAATTCAATGCTATCAATGACGACAATAGTCCCTGGGTGCTCAATTACAACACGATCAATGCTGCTCTGCAGGAGCCCTTGTACTTTCTCTTCCCTTCACTTGATCAGTCTTTGCTCTGGTTGTCGCCCAAAAGACAAGCAGTCCATCGAGAATTGGATCGCTTTATGAACATGCTCTCAGAAGTTATCAAGAAGAAGAGACAAGACATTGCCTCTGGCGTTCAAAATCAACATCTGCCAGATAATGAAAAGGATGTATTGACATTACTGATTGAAAACGAAGACAAGGGCGAAGGAGCACTGTCAGATGAGGAATTGCGAGTGAGTTTTACCTCTGTGAAATATACATGTAATATTTGTTAAGTCAAATCAATAGAGCAATTTGCACATCCTCTTTCTCGCGGGCCATGATGTAAGTTTGTCTCACTTTGCTTTCTATCCTATGGCACACAACTCATTGCATTTGCGACTAGACTACCAGCAACTCCTTGTCGTTTGCATTGCTCTACTTGGCCAAATATCCTGTAAGTCAGTACAGCTCACAAAGAGGAGCTTAGTCTAATACATGATTAGAAAATCCAACAACGCGCAAGAGAAGAAGTTCTTAGCATCTTAGGCGATGAGCCAAGAGACATTGTACCTGGCTTTGACGACTTGAAGCAAATGGACTACATTAATCAGATCATCAAAGAGGTAATTGAGCTAATTGATCATGATCACCTGAATCAAGGACTAACTTGGCAACTGCGTATGTCCAGACACTCAGAGTCAATGGGCCTGTCGTACAGGTGGTTCCTCGTGTAGCCCAAGAAGATACTGAACTTGCTGGTACATTCATTCCAAAGGGTTCTAAAGTCATTGTCGATGTGTTCAACATTCAGCATAGCAAAAAGGTTTGGGAGAATCCTGATGAATTTGATCCTGACCGATTTGATCCCAAGCGTGCATCCAGTCAATTGTCTGGAGGTGCCATGTCTTGGGTGCCCTTTGGTAGCGGCGCAAGGTATAACATGAAGTGACTTGATGGGCAAGCAGCCGACTAATTCAAAACTTGGTAGACAATGCATTGGCATGAATTTTAGCTTGAACGAACAGAGAGTGCTTTTATCCATGATGTGTAAGTGACAATGCATGGCTCATTGTACCAAGAAACTGACATTGTGCGTAGTGCGAAGATACACCTGGAGCTTACCAGAAGATTCGGTTCATCGTGGTAAAATTGAGACTAAGGGCCTCGGCATCGTTGGTCCTACCCACTGCCACCTCCAATTTAAAAAGAGATATTAAGCCTCGTTTAATCAAGTAACGTATAAGGTTTATTGCAATAATCAAAATAATAAAGAAGTAAGGTAATAGCATTTAAGTTGTATATAAAGTTGTATGTAATATGTATGTAAAGAAGTGGGTTATAGAGTAAGGGAGATAAAGATAAAATATGGAGATAATTGAACACATGTACATTTATTTTTCATTTAGTATTAATGATGAGGTTGTTGTTGTTGAGGCTGATGAGGCTGCTGTTGTGAAGTGTTGCTGTAGTCAGTGTTTGCAATAAAATTGCCCGGTTGTTGACCTCCCAAATCTAGTGAGAGTCTGTATGGCTGCTGTTGTTGTTGGCTTGCTACCACAGCACCACTGTGTTGTTGGCTTGCTACCACAGCACCACTGTGTTGTGGTTGCTGATAGTCATTAGCAACATAGGCTTGATCTTGGTATTGATATTGCTGATGTTGAGCATCATACGCTTGGTCATGCTGATCTGGATAATAGCCTTGTTGTTGTTGTTGTTGTTGTTGTTGTTGTCCTTGTTGAGGGTAATTCGGATCATGATACATTTCTTGACCATGCTGTTGATAGTTAGGATCTTGGTATACATCTTGCTGATGCTGTTGGTAGTGAGGATCATGATAGACTTCTTGACCTTGTTGAGGATAATTGGGATCATACATCTCTGGTACCTGCTGAGGTTGATGAGGATCGTAGTAGACGGCTTCTTGATGCTGTGCTTGAGGCGAGTATACAGGCTGCTGTTGAACTTGATGAGGATCATAGTAGGCAGCTTCTTGATGTTGCGCTTGAGGAGAATATACAGGCTCTTGGTATTGTTGTTGATGAGGCTCGTAGTACTGACCAGCAGCATTACCAGCTACATAAGCCATGGTGGGCGAAACAACTTGCTGCTGATTATGATAGTCGTCTGTTGCAACCTGAAATCCTCTTTCTGATGGATGCGTATCCCAGTTTTCATGAGCCACGCCAGCACCCATACCGCGTGTTGCGGTTGTATTACTGCGATAGACGTCTCCGGAACCAGGTGCAGTACCATTAGGAGAGAAAAGCTCATCCATAGTGCGACTCGCTCTGGTACTTCTTCTTGCTCTACGGCGACTACGACGAATCATGAAAAATGCAATAGCACCTAAAACAACAATGGCACCCACACCGCCAGCAATGCCAGCAATCAATCCTGTATTGGATGAACTGTCGTTGCTAGGTGTACTGGAAGCTGTTGCGCTGGGCAAGCCCGATGTGATGCTGCTGACACCAGAAGTAGTCAGTAATGAGGGATATGCTAACGAAGAAGATGTAGGAACTAATGCGCTTGAAGTAATAGGAGCTACAACAACATTGCTGGAAGATGAGGCAACGGCAGCAGCAGTAGAAGATGGCTTCGGTGCAGCAGTTGTTGTAGCAGCTGGTTTAGGTGTAGTGATCGCTGGTGCAGGTTCAGCTGTTGTAGTAGGCTTGGGTGCAGCTGTTGTTGGTTTAGGTTCAGCTGTAGTTGCATTATCGAATTTGTCTGTTGTTGTCTTTTCATCAGCCTTTGTGGCGTCACCAGCAGCAGCATCTCCAGCAGTAGCTTTATCATCAGCAGCAGTAGCTTTATCATCAGCAGCAGCAGCTTTATCATCAGCAGCTGCAGCTTTGGCAGAAGGTGTTTCTACGGCATCAGCAGCAGCACCAGCAGCAGCAGCTTGAATTCCATCAGTAGTGGATTTAGATGACATGGTAAAGGACTGGAGAGATTAAAATGAATGAGAAGGAGAGAGAGAAATAAGAAAAGAGGCCTCTTCAGTAGCAGCCATAAGATAGAGAATCAGAAATAGACTTTGTATTATTAGTGTTACATTGGATCAAGGAGATGATTTCAATTCTCGGTAGTGCAAAGGTAAAATGATCTTCGCTTGGTTCCTGATCAAGTAATCCATCACATTTTCGATGCGGATTTCTTGCAACCGGGATTTTAACAGATGGTATAACATGAGGACAGGAATAGCTTTTTCTCACCAGATGCTAGGAATGCTCGGAGCACGTCAAGAATTGCAGTTTGCACAGTGTATCCAGCATGCCAATGCTACGCCCTCTTAAAGTGGCGTTGGGGCTCTTTTAGGCCGTCAAATGTCTATCAACATGGACGGGATTTCTTGTAAGTAGAGCAACCATGGATGCAATGACTCAACCTGAGATCTAGGGTCTCATCTGGTAGCTCCAACGACAAATACAGGGAGCTCATAGGGTGACTGTCTGGAGTTGCTTGCTAAAATTCAAGTACGAATACGCAAGATAAGCAGTGAAAAGGCATTTTTGGGTTATACAACAAAATATGGCCATTTGTAAATTTTTTGCTTCAGGCAGTTGTCGAAACGGCAATAGATGCACATATGAGCACATTTCACCACAAAACAAATGGGGCAGCAACACACAGACAGCGGCAGCTGGCACGAGCAAATACAAGTAGGTTATGTCTTGATATAGATAATTCAATGGCTAATCCATCCTGATAGCGAAACTTCATTAAAGCAAAATCTGACGGAAGAGCGTCCTCAATGGAAACTCAGTGTCTATGGCCCAGCTAAAGAAGAGCCTAACTTGATTGTAGGAGTGGACAGAAGTGTCGAGGAAGATCGTCTTGCCTACTATACCAGTATGCGTACAACAGGAAACACTAGCCAATATGTATGCTTCATATACTTATCTCAATAGATACGACAACTAACGCCTTTTAACAGCTTGCTAGCTATGAACAGGCCTTCAACCAGGTCGAGAACCAAGTCAATGCCATCATCAATAATCCATCCGGTGCTATTCAACATTACGAAAAGGAGAAATCAAACCATTCGGGTCCATTCGGTGGCGCTGCCAACAATGCGCCTTTTGCTCCATTCACAAATACAGGCGGTGCATTTGGATCAAGTTCAACTACAAGCACATTTGGTGGAGGCAGTAGCAGTGCTTTTGGAAGCGGAGGCGGTGTATCAGCATTTGGACAGCCTTCTGCATTTGGCGCAGCAGCCGCAAAACCCTCAGCATTTGGTGATGGATCTGCATTTGGTTCAACAAGCGCGTTAGGAAGTGGTGGATCCGCCTTTGGCTCAACAAGTGCATTAGGAAGCAGCGGGTCAGCTTTTGGATCAACCAGTGCATTGGGAGGAGGGTCAGCTTTTGGCTCGACCAGTGCCTTGGGTGGAGGCACCTTGGCCTTTGGACAACCTTCTGCTTTTGGAGCAGCCGCCGCAAAGCCCTCAGCATTTGGCGGTGGATCAGCTTTTGGATCAACAAGCGCATTAGGAAGCGGCTCAGCTTTTGGATCTGCAAGTGCTTTAGGTAGTGGCACGTCAGTTTTTGGAGCTTCCTCTTCGACGCCTGCCTTTGGATCAACGACAGCACCCACGTCTGCATTTGGTTCAACAAGTGCTTTAGGAGGTGGAGCATTTGGACAAACATCTGCCCTTGCAAGTACAAGCAACACAACTATGGGAGCCTTTGGCATACCAGCATCGACTACAACAAATGCATTTGGTTCAGCAGCAGCACCAGCTAGCAATATTCCCAGCTCAATGAACACAGGGGCCGATATGTCATCCAATGCAAAGCAAAGTGATTTAGAGGCATTTCAAGCACCTCAGTTTGCCTATCGCGGTATACCTGAAATCGAGCCACCTACTCAGCTTGGCTAAAATCTAACAACATGTGTATATAACCATTATAATAAATCTAATGAGTGACAGATGATAGCATGTCCTTCGAGGGATGAATTTGTAATCAGATGATCAGAAGGATCAGATAAAATACAACTGCAACATTTTGATTACTGGTAGCCTAGATACATGAGCAATTTATAATAGATTGTGTGTCTATCAAAACTCAACTATCTTCATGGATCCAAGCGACCTATGCAATGCGCCTTATTATATGCTAGGACTCATCAGCATGAAATCATCATTTAGCATGAGTATATAGGCGCCCGGAGACCCAAACCAGATGATCAAATCAAAACATCATCAAAAAATTAGAGTTTACTATTAATTCTCTTTTTTTCTTGTACTCCACACAAAAACACCAACACCCATGTTTCTACTCAAACGATCATTCCATTCCTCCATCTCTAGACAAAAGAGAAATTTTTACGACGTTTTGCAGCTAAATGAAAGAGCCGACAAAAGAACCATCAAAGCCAATTATTACAAACTCTCCAAAAAGTATCATCCAGACTTGAACCCAAACAACAAGGAAGCGCATCAGCTGTTCCTGGAGATCAATGACGCCTATGCTGTGCTGGGCAATGAAGCCAGTAAGAAAAAGTACGATTATGAACGCTCCAGCGGCGGTGGTGGTGGAGACGATGCCCATTACAGCAATCCCATGGCAAAATACTCGAGAGCAGGCGGCAGTGGTGGCAACACACAGGCATGGCATTTTAGAAACAGACGGCCGAGAAGCACTGGCTCAGCGAGTGCAAAAGAGCAGGCAGAGAGAATGCGACAATCAACGGCTGGTGGTGGTGGATTCAATTACAATGAACATTATAATAAGCACTATGAAAACGAAGAGCATAGACGGAGACAACGAGTGGAAAAGGCGGCGCATAGACGTAGAGCGGCTGGCGATGATTCGGTGCCTGGCAAACCCGCAAAAGGCATGGAGAACGTGTGGGGTCGTCTTTGGCGGTTAGGTGTAGTCCTCACTGGCATTGCTTATGCGGCACAGCACCTTACTTCTTGATCCAAATGACGATATCCTCACATTATACACTTCGTTGAGTTTAGCGTCAAATACTCTACACGACCTACTACAATGGCTGAATTCCGACATGTACACATGAGACATTCTCGTCTCCACTGCCAGTCGAATCATTCCATCCATATTTCCACCTTGATCTACCATAGATGTACAATAAAAACACGCATCCAATTGACTATATAAAAATATATGTGATTCTTTATTTACTATAGAGCACAGTAAATAAACATAAACGAGAGGAGGGCAAAGCGAGAATATTTAAGATCTAGGCTTCTCCTTCTTTTCCTTGTACAAAGCGAGGAGAGAGACACCAGCAACCTTGACGACCTTGAAACGGACACCAGGAATATCACCAATAGCACGACCCTTACGACCGAAACCGGCAATCAAAACTTCGTCGTTTTCATCAACGTAGTTCAAACAACCATCATTGGGAACGAAAGCAGTAACCTTCTTACCGTTCTTGATGAGTTGAACACGAACACACTTACGAATAGCAGAGTTAGGTTGCTTGGCTTCAACACCAATCTTTTCAAGGACGATACCCTTGGCGTGAGAAGAACCACCGAAAGGAGAAGAACGGAAAGCGGTACCAATAGCTCTCTTCTTGTAGGCCTTATCGGCCCAACGTTGGTCACGACGGTGAATACGGAGCTTACGAGCTGCGTTCAAACCTCTAGGTTGTCCCTTACCTATAGTCGTTGTAAGGTGTTTGTGTTAGCATCATCTGTCATCGACAAAAGTGTATATCATCCACAGTGCCCCTTAATATCTGGAAAGTTGTCCATCCATCCCATAGTGCAATGAAATCGACTCGAATCCATCCATCTACATTCTACATCCCTTCTCCTTCTCCTCCATTTATTCACTCGCTACATCTATCTCTCTACTCTGTTTCGCTTCCAATGTTGTATGCCCTTACCCATGATGAAATCTGATAAAAAAGGAAGGTCTATATAATTGCCAACTTGGATGTCTCTTTTGGGCTTGAGAATTGCCACACCTCTGCGTGAACTGCAGCCCGCCCGAAGCATTTGTGACAATTTTACCTTGGGTCAGTGCTCCACAGTGCCGGAAAGCGGCAAGATGTAACGAGCACCAGCTCCTCTTGAACTATAAGCCACTTGAGTCATCACAGCGAAGCGTGATTTGGACTACATAGGTACCAGAACTGCAGTTGGCACTATGAATTCTGGAAGAGATGCAAGTTGGGAGACACTGTATGACGTGTCTATCATGACTAACGTGGAAATCTTCTTGTCGTATAGATAGAAAGTCAAGCTCAAGCAGTTCCTAAATTGTTAATGTCTAATCGAGTGCTGGTGCAATGTAAAACTATAGTGTGGTTCAATCATTTATCAGTAGGCTATGCTGTGCTTGCCTTTGCCTCAGAAAAACGGGGACCTAAGCAACATGTGCCATGGTCTTTGATTAGGAAATCTCGACACTAGCAATTTGGTTTAATGCTCACGTCTATGAACCTTGACTAACGGATTATGGTTCGCATGCTTTTGATGGCCATTGAGTTTCTCGCTTCTACGGCTCGACTGCAAAGAGTCTGAGAAATGGTCCTAAAAACAAGATCGTTTGGAAGGACAGGCGCATCCGTAGCAAGCATTGATAAGATTGCGTCTCGCTATATCTAAACATTGGCATCAGTCAACTAAATCTTACTTAGAGGCGAAGACTTTGAGCTATGTACTCGTACAAAATAGAGATTCAAAATGGTTTTGCCCAGTTGCTGAATAACCTCTGGTTGCGGTTACATAAGCTTTCATCTCTAGTTCTCCATTAGCATAGATTGTTGAGACAGAGTATATATATATATATATCAAGAAAAGGCATATAGCACAGGTCTAATTTGAAAAGAATAGCACGCATTGTAAGAAATAGACCAAGCGCTCAGTTTTCTTCTCGAAACACTGCTTATATATGAAAATACAGAATTGGACGACATATTCTTCCTCATGGTAAAATTCACTGTGTTATTGACTCAGTAACAAGATTAAGGGAGCTTTAAATGTTGGCTTGCTTGAATTATATTAGCTGTATCGACTACATTCGTAACAGAGCCTTGCTCCTCAATCAAGTACTAAAATCTACTAAAAGTTCAGCCATGATGCTATGAGGCTATGGAGTTTTCCATTGCTCAAATGTCGAAAGCTGTTGGTTGTGATAGACCTTTTGTTTCCAAGCTTAAGTCATCACTTATTTCAAGAATGATGCAAAGAGCTTCATTGTCAATAAATGGAACATGGAGCTAGATAATCTGTAGATCATGATTGCGTTGTATCGAAAAAGTACAGTAGGATAGATCAAGCAAGCCAATGACAAAGGATCAACAAAATGACGCGACCTGATGTAATTTTGCCCAGATGAAGAAGGGTGCAGCTTGGGTTTGAAATCGGTACAATCCGTATCTATGCAAGATGGGCAGTTACAAGCGTTTGAGGGAGATGGTGCTTGAGCATGGCCTTCTGCTGACAATGCTCCTCCTATGCTGTGCCATTGGGGATCGATAAGTAATGGCGACATGAGCATGAATATCCCAACGGACTATGAAATGATCGAACAATAGAACCCACTGGTAGCAAGAGCTGATTCCCAAGCAAACTCCATGAATTACTCATCCATCTTTTGAAAGCATGTATTTATAATCCAACGGTATAGCTATCTTGGTCGCACATTAGCCATGATTACGACTCAGACCTGTTAATGGGATTCGAGAAGGCTCGTTGACGAGAGTATTCTGTTTATTTCGCCATTTCAATTGGATATCATTGGCCAAAGAATCATCTCTAACACCATACTATTGCTACCTTATTGGCTTTGAGCAATGCTATGACCCAAGAACAAAAAGACAGACAGTATAAAAGCAATGCTGTATTCTATTCAACGAGTCTTCTCTTCATCTTTTAATAAAACAATTAGAAAAATGCCTGCTAGCACAACCAACAGTAGAATCCAATCAAGCGCTGATTTGACTCCAGAGACCTTGAAACATTTGAATGAACATCTTGCAACATTGGAACCCAAAGAAGTCCTTGAATGGGCCATTAATTGTCTACCCAACCTCTACCAAACCACAGCTTTTGGCTTGACTGGTCTTGTTACTCTTGATATGATTAACAAAATCAGTGTCGACCGCAATCAACCTCACATTGTGCCATTGATCTTCCTGGACACGCTCTACCACTTCAAAGAGACATTGGACCTCGCTGAACGCTGCAAAACTACCTACAATGTCCCCCTCAAAGTCTACAAGCCCATGAATGCTGAAAACACTCAAGAATTCGAATCTGAATACGGCCAAAAGCTATGGGAGACTGATGAAGATTCCTATGACTACCTCATCAAAGTTGAGCCTGCTCGTCGCGCTTATGAAGAACTTGATGTCAAGTCTGTCATAACTGGTCGCCGTCGTAGTCAAAAGGGTGATCGTGAGGCTATCCCCATTTTAGAAGTAGATGGCACTGGTTTGATCAAGTTAAACCCCCTTGCTTACTGGGATTTCCAACAAGTTTGGACTTACATTCGTGCTAATGAAGTTCCCTACAATGCTTTGGTTGATCAAGGTTACCGTTCTATTGGTGATTGGCACTCTACTCATGCTCCTGCCAACGGTGACGAAAGATCGGGTCGCTGGTCTGGTCAGCAAAAGACTGAATGCGGTCTCCACAAGGATTACTTCAAGATGCGTGCTGCTTTCATGGCATCCAAAAAGAAGAGAGAAGCACAAAGCATTCAACAACAAAACGCCATCACTGCTTGAGCATTTCCATATTCCCTCTCTCTCCCTCTCTCTCTCTCTCCTTCATTATCTAATTAGCATTTTACATCAACACGATAATAGTATCTAATAGAATACTAGTTTGTACATAGAATATTACAGAATAAACATTTTATTATACATTTAAATATCTATTTTGACCCTATGAGATACCAGCTTTCTCTGCATTCTACGGCTTGTCTTCTCACAAGTCGCTTCTTGTCGTCTAGAGGAACTGCAATGGCCTTGAGCGTATCTTTTACATATGGCAACACGACATCTCTGGATATGTTTGTGGAGATGAGGCCAATGCATTTCAGTGCTGATATTCTCACCTTCATGGACTTTTCAGCAGGTCCAATAAGCGATGTAAAAGCAGGCAGCAGTGTGAGAATGTGCTTTGCCATGATATCAGTGGCTTCTTGAAGACTAAATTGGAACAAGTCGAGCGTGGAGAGCTTTAGCACTGTGTCTGGGAAAGACATGGACTCTATCAACAATGGTACAAGCTACAGAACACACAATGAGAACATGGGCCAGTTCTTGTGCAATCTCGACTTACTGGTGGTAACTCATCAATGAGAATCGATCTTGGCACATTTTTTAACAGATACGCAATAGCAATCAAAAAGTTCAGCTTTTCGTCTATGACCAAAAATGAGTTGCCATGCTTGAGTCTGGTTTTTGAGCGTGTGGCTTACCTTCCGTGGAGGCATTAAAGTTTTTCAACAGCTTGGGAAGTGCAAAGGTCATGAACTTTTGCTTGTACAAAAACTGTGCAATGATGAGATTTAATACATGTATCACACACTGCAATTCCAGGTATTCTTACCGAGATGTTGGCATAGCACTGCTTATTCAAACATAAGGCGTCATCGCCAATGAGTATGTCAAATCCGCTTGAGGCATGCTTTCCAACAACAGGATCTGGGATCACATTGATCAGATAGTCAATCATGTCAGCATTCTTTTTGTGTGCTCGAGTAACAAGCGCTTTCGTAACCTAGATACAGGTTTTGTTAGAGTCTCGTCGTTCCAAATGACTGTTGCAACCTCACCCAAATGTAAATGGACAGTGCTGGCTGTGATTTGGCTTCTACTAGCTGCTCTAATCTTAATTTCAAAGTGTCCAGGTAAGCTTGGAATGAAACATCATCCTTCCACTTGTTGATAACAGATGCTATGATTCTTGAAAATGCAAGAATTTGCTTCTCATGTGTACTTTTCAAGGCCTCACCCACAATCTCATCCAGGAAAGACTCATTGGATTGAATAGGCAAAGTGACATTCTTTCTGAATGAAGCGATCACTGTAGCAAATAGCTGTGTACAAGCTGCTTGGGGTTTGCTGGCTTGAGCAGAGAGAGGGCAAAAAGTGGGTGCTGCTTTCAGGCCAAGGGGATTGAGATCAAGGTCTTTGAAGTAGCTAAAGGCTTGAACTGCATACTTTTCTTGCTCACTAGGGTAAATTAGCTCTCAGTTAATAGACCATTCTGCTTGAAATACGTACGATGTGCCAAGGTTTTTGAGCACAGTCAAAAGGATAAGATTGACTGTTTCCAAGATCTCGTCGCTAAGTATAATAACTTGATTTGGATCAGCAGTTTCATCCGTAACAGCAGAAACGACAGAAGCGAACAATTTGGGCAGCAATGTTTCTGAGCACGCTTTGATGTCTGGTTGTTTGTCACTGTCTTTGGTACGAACAAGCGTCAATAGAGTCGAAATAATCTCTCGTGCATACCGTTTGTCCTGATCTATAGACTATGTTAGATGCATTTTTATGTATTGCTCAGATTAGTAACATACTATGGCTACAAATGTACAAGAACTTGGTCAGCAATTCTTGCTCAGTGGCCTCGTAAATAGTGGGTGGTATACATAATTTGTTGATAGTCGCCAAAGTCAACTTATAAGGTACGATGTCTATGTTGGTGTTGCCATCCATGGACGAGAAATCGGGTAGAAGGTTGATAAGAACAGGCACTGTGATGTCCCTGACAAGACTAGCATCAAAACTAGAGATCTCCATCAAAGACATCTCCACAGACATTCTCAGTCTATCTTCTTCTTCTGTTTCAAGAAAGAGACTTAGTGCCTGAACGCTCACAGCTCTCTAATATAAGTTGTGCTAGTGAGCGCTAATCCCATTGTCTCAATGCCAGAAAATGCTTACCTCACTGCGAGTCAAAAAGTTCTTCAACACACACAACAATCCCAAACCTAGAGTACCCATCAGTCTAATCTCAGGGTGCTCTTTTGACGTATTGATAGCATGAGAAAAGATCTCTACAAACTTGCTCTTGTAGGATACGAGTATCGAGTCATGACCAACTTCAATGCCATCATCACTGCCTGTAGCAGCACCGTATACAATCTTTCGAGCTTGGATAATGGCAACCATAGTACACAAAATCAAATAACGGTCGGGTATGGCATCATGAGTTCTGTATTGACGCAGCAATAGAGGCAAGACGGTGCTCTCAATTAATGTGTATGCAAATGCTATCAGATTGATAGGTATCATACGCATAACAGTACAAGATGAAGCACTTACCAGAAGCAGAGGCAATGGATCTCAAAATCAAACTGGCCGGTTTAACAGTATCTTCCTCCAACTCGCCTAGTAAATGGACGCAATCATCCACAAGAGGCTTCAACACTTTGGTGACATCGTCTTCTTTGGAGGTGCTGTCGCTGGTGATGGCCTTCGTGATGGCATGAATGGCATTTAGAGATGGATCTCTCAGCCCTGGGTCAGGACTACCATTAATGATTTCAATTTTAATAGCATCCAAGAGCTTGCTTCCAACTGCTAAAATGTCCTTGGGTGGGTATACGGAGGCACATGCTGTGATGGTCTCCAACGAGTCCTTTTTTGCGCTTCCAGATGTTGTAGACATTTTTTGCAGCAATAATGGCAATGCAAATTCTGAAAACAAGGGAGTGGAGGCCATGCACTTTCTCAGGTTCAACTTGAGGTCCTTGGCTGTGATTCCATACGGGTTGTCGGGTGGAGGACGAAATGTAATGGGAAAGTAGCAAAATGTAGCTGCGAAGAGCTCTTCCACGTGTTGCGAGATATCCAACAGCTTGACAATCTTCTGAATCACTGTATAAACAGACATTAAATTGCGAGGATCCTTTTCATTTGTAATGGACTGGATGAACACTGTAATGAACTCGTTTGTGATCGACTTCACATGCTGGCTGTGTTTTTCCAAAAGGTTCTCGAATACCTTGAATGCGGCATTTCTGGTAACGTGTGCAAATGACTGAACCTGAATGTCATTTCCGAGACTACAAGCCATCTTAATGCCTAGTTCACAAATAGTCCTTCTCCTAGAATACTACCTTGAAACGATGGTGTTTGTACAGGCAGCATTGAAACCATCAAATTTGCTTGTTAGTGCCACTAATCCCGACATGAGATTGGGAACGCTAGCTAGATCTGATAAGCGACTGCAGTAAAAATTGACCAAAACAGATACTAATAGACCACAATTAGATCCCTTCACCCCTTTCATCCATAAGTCATCTCGCAAATACCTGCAGCCTCATTCAATTTCTCCTGCTCTACATGCTCCAACGTATATGACAGCAAAGAAGTAGCTAGTAACCTGGATTAGTCATACCAAATTCATCACTGGAGTCGTTATTACCTTTTGCCCGCAAACTGTCGTCTTCATGCGTAAGATACTCTCCAAGCGACTGGATCAATGACAGTAAATTAGACTTGGCATCCTCTTCATTGACAACTGGTGAAAATATTAGTGCGTTGCTTTGCAGTCCAGTATCATGCCCTCACTTTCGACAATGCGCTTTGCCGCACCAGAGGAGAACGAGCCATTATTCTCGGTAATCATGAATTCCGTAACATGTTTCTCCATTGAGTTGCTCATAATTCAATGCGGAAAAAATAGGAAAAGCGGATTGAAATGAAGAAAGATCTCTAGTAAATACTGAAAAACTATGAAAAAAAAAGCGCCAGAGTAACCAATCAGAGGTCAGGAGCCCCTCTCCAAGAACATAACGCATCTAATTCAATATTTGGTAAAGATTGACCTATAAGAGCGTTTTACCGTAGTGAGGCGAAGGTGAAAAACCATAGTATTCAAGCAGCAAATTCGGCTTTTCATATATTATTAATAAGCTTAACAACAATATATCGCATCAAAATTTACACGAATCAGCTTTGCCAAAAGCAATACGCCTCTACTCGAATTAGAGTTTGCACAGGCTGCAGAACTGCCCTTTCAGAAGATCTCAGCTACCAAAGATGTCATTCATGCCATGAAAATAAAAGCTACAAAGCAAAAACATAACCAAACTTGACAGCTTTTAAGCCTTCATATCTTGACATGTAGACCTTTCTGAGCCGCCGGAATAATGCCAAACAATTGTACTCGAGTATTAGTAACTTCCTGACACCTTTGCTCAACTTTTTGAGGACCCAAAAAACATGGCCAAAAATCGACCAAAAAGCATGAGGGGTACCTCATGGTTTTCTTGGAAAATCAAACGATCGCGTTTTTCACCTTGAAAAATGAAGACTTTTACTATGGTACATAATAAATCAAAATGTTTCTCTCGATTCAACGCAACCTCTGAAACCACTTTTATGAGGCTTTCATATGCAAAATATGGCTATTTTCACTAAAGACCTCATTTCATATTTTATTAAATTGCTCAGTGATTTCAGTCAAAACACTTGTTAAAGTTAGCACCATTGGAAGCGCCTTGAAAAGTACTTCAAGGATGTATTAAGAAGCATAAGGCGATCATTACAGTTTATATAGTCAAATATCATAAAATAGATTAAAGAAGTCGAAAAAAAACAAAATCTGTCCAATCTTGAACAGAAAAAAGTAAACTGAGTTTAAATCGATTTTGGCGGCGGTGGCATTGCTGCTAGCTGACCTAAATACCTTTCTGTTGATGACAATGATGATGACAATGATGATGACAATGATGATTAAATGGGTATCATGGAATTGTAAGGACAATTGCTTAGCGCAATTGCTTTTTTTTGGGGAGCTTTATCTCATGAAGACGTCTTTTGCAACGACAATATCTCAGAAAAGTCGCGCAGGGCGACGCCGACATCGAGCGTAGCGAGATAGAATGGCTAGTGGTTATTGTACTGAAATTAGTGTTCTATTCAACATATAGGCCAGTTTTGACAAGATATCACATGCTGATGAATACTGGGCTGAGATCAGTAATACCAATTTGGCATAATTGTCATGTCGAAGGCCTTTCGTTCGACTGCATGCTACAGGTATCCAATTCAATTGATGTAGTTTTCAAGAGAGGCTCTTTCAGCGATAAATTTCATTGAAATTTATAGATGATTTTACACAATGACGAAAGCTACATGATAAATTATTGGTGGAGAGCTACTTTTTTAGCGTTTCCGTATACTCTTACAAAGTGTGAGATTTGTTCAAGTCTTGATGTTGTTCATGTTTGATTGGCTTGACACAAGAAGGGTACAGGTTACACAGGTTGATTACAATCCTTCCTAAATGTGCTGTTTTGGTGTGGGAATTCATCTGTTTATTTACTAGTACACAGTAATAGATAGCAACTAGATGCAAGATAAAAGAATTATTTGCAATTACCTACAAAAGAGGTTTTGATCCAGCTGTAGAATAGCAAGAGTTTCGATTTACATAATGTAATAGAATTTAAGGGACAATGAAATCAGATCGGTAGATCAATGCCTGATTCATGTTATATTTGATTGGACGATACGATGTTGCAAATTGCGTCCGAGCCAATCCTCTCTCTGCAAAAGAGATTGAATGAGATGCTATGTTTTTCCAATGTGCTTCCAAAAGAACAGCTTTATTTGAAACTGACAATTCTAACGAATAATTGCATTGATGCGTTACAAATTACAATAATAGATAGATACTTGGCATTGGGATTTCGGTTCATAGCCTAGTTTCAAGAGTCAAGTCATGGCATTTGACTGAGAATCCAGCCCAACGTTGGAAGCATGAATTTGGTTTAGAAGTAGTCCTTTCAAGATTGAGATGAAGATGATCAAATGCAGATTGGCGGTCACATCGTCCATGAAGGCAAAGGCCACTGTACCACTCCGAAATGGTATATATGGATGCAACATCCCTTTATATTCCCTTTTGTTTTTACTGTTTTAACTTCTTAAACTATTTTTTGGTACTCATAAACTTTAGCAATAATGAAAGTCATTGATAAGATTCACAAAGCCGAACAAGAGGGTCGCCCCTTCTGGTCATTCGAATACTTCCCTCCCAAGACACCTCAGGTACGAGAAACTGGATCTCATGTGTGTCTATCCAACAACTCATTTTTGTTGCATATAGGGTGTCCAAAATTTGTATGATCGTATGGAAAGAATGCAACGTTACGGACCTGAATTCATTGATGTCACTTGGGGTGCTGGAGGTACCTCTGCTGATTTGACCACTGAAATTGTTGCCACTGCACAATCCGTCTATGGCTTAGAGACCATGATGCATTTGACTTGTACCAACATGCCTGTCAAGCAAATCGATGATGCCTTAGAGGTAGTATAAAGCTACAGCGCATTGCGCAAATTCAAATTCTAAATGTTGATTATTAGGCCGCCAAAAACTGTGGATGTCAAAATATCCTTGCATTGCGCGGCGATCCTCCCAAGGGTCAAGCCAACTGGGAGTCTTGCAAAGAAGGCTTTGAACACGCTGATGATCTTGTTCGCTACATTCGTGAGAAATACGATGATTATTTTTGTATTGCTGTCGCTGGTAAGTTGGATGTGATCTATGTTTGAATTTGCATTGGCGGCATATACTGAATTTTCATTCTCCAACAACCAAAAGGTCATCCCGAAGGTCATATTGACAACCCCGACAAAGAAGATGATCTCTTGCAACTAAAGAAAAAGGTGGATGCTGGTGCTGATCTCGTTGTCACACAACTTTTCTTTGATATTGACTCCTTCTTGACCTTTTACAAGAAGGCTCGTGCTATCGGCATTACTGTTCCCATTTTGCCTGGTGTTTTCCCCATCCAAAACTACACTGGTCTTAAGCGAGTCATCTCTTTCAACAACAACTTTGTTCCTCAAAAGATATGGGATGATCTTGAACCCATCAAGGATGACGACACTGCTGTCAAGGAGTACGGTATCAACTTGACCGTTGAATTCATCAAAAAATTCCGTGAAATTGGTGTCAATGGTTTCCACATTTACACCTTCAACCTGGAACGTTCTTCTCGTATTGTCTTGGAGCGTCTGAACTTGATGGCTCCTGTTGAAAGCATCAAACCTTTGCCATGGAACCCCTCTCTTACCAGCAAGCGTGCCAAAGAAAATGTTCGTCCCATCTTCTGGAAGAATCGTGCCAAGAGTTATATTCAACGTACTGAAACCTGGGATGAGTTCCCCAATGGTCGTTGGGGTGATTCTCGTTCTCCTGCTTTCGGTGAACTCGATGGCTGGGGAATTAATCTCAAATATCCTGTTGAACAATGTCTTGAAATGTGGGGTAGCCCTACTTCTATTGATGATGTCGCTCAAACATTTGCTCGTTATTGTAAGGGCCAAATTGCCGGTATCCCTTGGAGTGCACAACAACTCGATGCTGAAACTGATATCATTCGTCAACGTTTGGCTGCCATCAACTTGTTGGGTTATCTTTCTATCAACTCTCAACCTGCTGTCAATGGTGTCAAGAGCTCTCACAGTGTCTACGGTTGGGGTCCCAAGAACGGCTACGTTTTCCAAAAGGCTTACCTTGAATTTTTCGTCTCACCTGAGAAGTTGGATGAATTAATCGAAAAGGTTGGCAAGGATCCTCAAGTTACTTACTATGCTGTCAACAAGCAAGGCGATCTCCGTACCAACACTCAAAGCGATGAGCCTAATGCTGTCACTTGGGGCGTGTTCCCTGGTAAGGAAATTGTTCAGCCTACTATCGTTGAAGCTGTTGCTTTCATGGCTTGGAAGGACGAAGCCTTCGAGCTCTGGAACAGATGGGCTCGTATCTATGAACGCGAGAGTGAATCTGCTGAATTGATTTTGGGTATCACCAAGAACTGGTACTTGATCAACATTGTTCACAACGATTTCCAAGATGAGAATGGTATCTGGAGACTCTTTGATTTGGAGATTGATGGTGAAATCTCTCGTAAGTTACTACAATCTAATACCGTTGCTCGTTAATTTTCTCTTCTCTACATCGCTTTGTAATTGTATTCAACATGCCTCTTATATATACTTTTGTTTCCATTATATTTAACCTTACTTTATGTCATCTAAATCATCATGCTTTTTACTTCCTTTTTTCTTTCTTATACATAGTATTCAACTACCTTTGATGGTCAATATTCCCCTCTGTTTTTTTTAGAAGAATTTTCATCCAACAATATAGCCTTTTTTTGAACAGTCTTCACAGAGAAAAGTTACCCCTGAACGGAGATTATGTGTCAAATATTTTCCATATTTGGAAATATAATTTACTACACCGGCATTTACCGTGAAAATGTTCTTGCTTGTGTTTGACGCATGTCAAGTATAGATGCATGAATAAACTCTGAATTTGTACAGGGAGCATCATATTAATATAATACTCAAGTGGCTTTACTATCTCGGAAAGATTGCGAACTATAAATAAATATCTTTTTGATATCACACATCTTGGCTGCTCAGGTAAATATACTAATAAGAGAGAATAAACGCATGGTATCCAGCACAGTATAGTATTTTATAGGCGCCTGATGACAATGCTCATCACAGTTTGAACTCTAAGCTTTTCGCAAACAGAGCAAGCTATACGGACATTCAATTAGTAACACATCTCCAAAATCAACGTATCACCTTAATATATCAACCAAGCCAACAACGCGTAAACCCAGACATTACGTGGACTTGTTACCTCTCTATTTATCAAGCACATTTATTACCTTTCACATTTTTGTTTTGTACATTTATAATGGCTACATTAGAAGATAAGGCACTCTGGGAGAATCAAGAACAAGAAGATGATGATGTTGGACAAGACATTCTTCGTTTAGCTCCAGAAGAAATCACAAACAGAACTCGACTCTTGGAGAATGATATCAAGGTAATTGCAACTGTGCCGTGTCGATTGCCACAACATCTAAACACAAAGATGCAGGTCATGAAATCCGAAATCGTTAGACTTCAACATGAACAAGCTGCCATGAAGGAAAGAATCAAGGACAACAAGGAAAAGATTAAGATGAATAAGCAACTTCCATATCTCGTTGGTAACGTTGTTGAGGTAAGTCTGATCTAGACCTACTTGTCACATGGATACAAGCTCATTGATATGTTTTCTAGCTACTGGATGTTGACCCTGAGGAGGATGAGGAGGATGGCGCTAACGTCGACTTGAACAGTCAAAGAAAAGGAAAGTGCGCAGTTATCAAAACCTCAACAAGACAGGTAGGATATGGATATTGCATAAAAGACGATATCGAGTACGTGTTTCTCACAGTAATTCTGAATAGACCATCTTTTTACCCTTGATCGGTTTGGTGGATGCAGATACTTTAAAGCCTGGAGATCTTATTGGTGTCAACAAGGACAGTTTCTTGATCTTGGATACATTACCAGCTGAATACGATTCACGAGTGAAAGCAATGGAAGTCGATGAGAAGCCCACTGAAGATTATAATGACATTGGTGGTCTAGATAAACAAATTGAAGAGTTGGTTGAAGCCGTTGTTTTACCAATGACACATGCGGATAGATTCAAGAACTTAGGTATCAAACCACCCAAGGGCGTTTTGATGTACGGACCTCCTGGTACTGGTAAAACATTATTAGCAAGAGCCTGTGCTGCACAGACAAACTCTGCCTATCTCAAGCTAGCAGGACCTCAATTAGTACAAATGTTTATTGGTGATGGCGCTAAATTGGTGCGCGATGCTTTTGAATTGGCCAAGGAAAAATCGCCAGCTATCATCTTTATTGATGAATTGGATGCCATTGGTACTAAGCGTTTTGATTCAGAAAAATCTGGTGATCGTGAAGTCCAGCGTACCATGTTGGAATTATTGAACCAATTGGATGGTTTCTCTTCAGATGATCGTATCAAGGTTATTGCAGCCACAAATCGTATCGATATTCTGGATCCTGCTTTATTACGTTCTGGCCGTTTGGATCGTAAGATTGAATTTCCCTTACCTAATGAGGAAGCCAGAGCTCGTATTATCCAGATTCACTCCAGAAAGATGAATGTCAGTAAAGATGTCAATTTTGAGGAGTTATCGAGATGTTGTGACGAATTCAATGGTGCTCAATGCAAGGCTATCTGTGTAGAAAGTGGTATGTTGGCTCTTCGTCGTGGTGCTGTTGAAATTACACATGAAGATTTCATGGAGGCTATTCAAGAAGTTCAAGCTAAGAAGAAAATGACTTTACAATACTATGCGTAAATAAAATAATTCAATATTTAAATGGAAATCTCTGTTGGTGCTCATGCATCTCGAAAGACAATCTCCATCTACTAATTACATGGTGGCTGAACAGCGTCCCAGCTATTTCATTGCCTCAAATTGTCAATTTTTTAGAAGTGCTTAATAGAACGTCCCTGGTTGATGTATTTCTACGTGAATCCAATTAGTGAACCCTTCAGAATTGATCTTGAGCCAAATAATACAGATATTGGGTATCCTGTTATCATTGAATCTAATTGACCTGATGAAAATCTCCAGATATCTGAACCTCATTTTCGATATGTAGTAGTATATTTTACACTAGCCTTTCTATCTTGTTATGCTCGATGACGGCGTCGCCCTGCGGGCTCTCGCTAAAGACATTTAAAAACAGTATATCAAGTAGATTTTAAGCAATTAGTAGAAAAAGAAAGGTTATATCAGAGTTAGGAGTGGGGGGGGGGGGTATCCGCCTCGGCAACCCCTTTGCTTATACACTGATATCAAAAGAAAGCTATTACTAAAACGAAGTGAAAGAGATTTCAAGTTTTATGTATCATTTGTACTACACGTTCTCCGTTCGTGGCGCATTTTTTGACAGCAGAATTGTCAGGCCATTCGCTGATGTTGCTCTTGAGATGGCGGCATAATGCTGGCCATGCGTAAAATACAGGACTTGTATAGGATCTACAACAGCGACTTTTTTGAGAGACTGTCAATGCAAAACACCATTATTATATTATAGGAAAATTTCCATCAAAAGCAAAAAAAAAAAAAAAAAAAAAAAAAAAAAAAAAAAAAAACTCGATCTAAGCGACCACATTTTTAAATTAATGATTCTCATTTAACCAATATCACATTCATCATTGTCATCATCATTGTCATCAACAGAAAGGTATTTAGGTCAGCTAGCAGCAATGCCGCCGCCGCCAAAATCGATTTAAACTCAGTTTACTTTTTTCTGTTCAAGATTGGATAGATTTTGTTTTTTTTCGACTTCTTTAATCTATTTTATGATATTTGACTATATAAACTGTAATGATCACCTTATGCTTCTTAATACATTTTTGAAGTACTTTTCAAGGCGCTTCCAATGGTGCTAACTTTAACAAGTGTTTTGACTGAAATTATTGAGCAATTTAATAAAATATGAAATGAGGTCTTTAGTGAAAATAGCCATATTTTGCATATGAAAGCCTCATAAAAGTGGTTTCAGAGGTTGCGTTGAATCGAGAGAAACATTTTGATTTATTATGTACCATAGTAAAAGTCTTCATTTTTCAAGGTGAAAAACGCGATCGTTTGATTTTCCAAGAAAACCATGAGGTACCCCTCATGCTTTTTGGTCGATTTTTGGCCATGTTTGTTGGGTCCTCAAAAAGTTGAGCAAAGGTGTCAGGAAGTTACTAATACTCGAGTACAATTGTTTGGCGTTATTCCGGCGGCTCAGAAAGGTCTACATGTCAAGATATGAAGGCTTAAAAGCTGTCAAGTTTGGTTATGTTTTTGCTTTGTAGCTTTTATTTTCATGGCATGAATGACATCTTTGGTAGCTGAGATCTTCTGAAAGGGCAGTTCTGCAGCCTGTGCAAACTCTAATTCGAGTAGAGGCGTATTGCTTTTGGCAAAGCTGATTCATGCAAATTTTGATGCGATATATTGTTGTTAAGCTTATTAATAACATATGAAAAGCCGAATTTGCTGCTTGAATACTATAGTTTTGCACCTTCGCCTCACTACGGTAAAATCCATTAAGACTAATATTACCAAACGCTGAATTAGATGCAACCTCGCTACGCTCGACGACAGTGTCGCCCTGCTGGCTGTCATCGTAGACATTTCAAATCAGTAACAATAAAAATCTGCTATATAAGTAGATTTCAAACAATCAATTATTAATTTAGGGAATGAGGAATCGGATTTGTTGCTGAATACTATGGTTTCGCGCCTTCGCTTCGCTGCGATCAAGCCCTCATATAGATCAATGCTACCAACTATTGGATTAGACGCCGTATTACCATGACTTTGCGCCTTTGCTTTGCTACGGTAAAACCCCCCTATAAATCAATGCTATCAAGCGTTGAATTAGACGCCTTATGCTCTTCCTCAAACCCCCTACCCATTGCTGGCTTCACCAGTGGTTTTATTCATCTTGTATGGCACACAATTCTTTATATTTGAAAAGATATGATTGGCTTGTTTACTTTTTTTGAATGGTTTACAATATATATATAGTGAAGATACCAGATATGATTGATTGACAACTCGCATGAAGCGATCATAGCGCCTTTGCTTCTATTAGCGTAGACGGCTATATAACATACCTTTTTACTTGTGTACACCCAGTGCTCGCGTAGTTGCTCCAACTCACCTCAAAATCACTTCTATAGGCTGTATTTACGGACGCAATTACCAAACGTATCTCATACCCACATAAGATGCGATGTCTAGAACTAGAGACCCCCCCCCCCGAATGACCCCAAACGGTCAAATGTTGCATAGCGTCTGCGCTTGTCAACAAGAACTGAGTTGCCATCAAGCTGGCTGCCATGTAGTTCATTCAAAAATCGCATTGTAGCCATTTTTTACTAGAGTCCTGCTATCTTATAATGAATTCGCCTGTTAATCTGCGATATCACTTATTCTTGTTGTCATGAAAAGCTGGTCTATACATCAAAACTATACAGGAGAAACTTTATTAATGGCGTTTCATAATATGGCTCATCAGTGGCTTGTTGTGTTTGTTGTGATAAACCAACTTTTTCTCCTTCATGTGCTATTCCTTGAATATGCCCTCATCTCTTTCTTGAACTTGTTCAACCAGCATGAAGTCTAAACCCAAAAAAACTGTAACTGTGAAAAAAGAATGGCAAAGCTCACTCGACAGCTTCTTTTTAACCACCAGAAAGAAGAACCAGCCTGAATGCACCGTGGCTGCTATTGCTGATGGTGCCTCAATGAATATTGTTTCGGCTATACACACGATTGACGCCACCTCTACAAACCAGGCTGATAATCAACTGCTAATATCCGAAAATGATGATAATATCTTAGCGCAAGCCATGTGCAGAAAGCGCGCAAGAGAACAAGATGAGGTGCCTGGAAACACTGGACATCAAAGACCACGGGTTTCGTCTGATCTACCCGCTTCTGCTGCGTCTGAGGTTTCAGTAATTGATAAAACGAAGACGCATGATACATCACCACTGGCCATGCCTGATATTCAAATGGCTGAGATGAGCTTGTCAGACAAACTTGATACTTATATTTCAAATGGCAGTAATAGCTCGTCGTCATCTAATGGAGCTACAGTAGTAGCGCAAGTTGGTGCATTGGCTGTCAGCTCTCCGAACATTATTGATCTAGCCACTGATGAGCCTGGCAACCAAAAAACTCAAGACACCATTATGTCAGAAGTGCCAGACCTTAAAGTTGAACAAGACAAAGATAGTACAAAGACAACCTCTGTGAAAACCCAAGCTGAAGCTGTGCCTGTACGGGTTACCAATGCTGGCGGCGTGAATCCAGGTATGTATACAGCCGTCAAAAGTAGCAGAACGGCTAATATGTATATGTGTAGATCTTGATCCGGAGGAGAATGACCCTAATAACTACTGCCGTAAATGTGGCAAAACGTATGCTGACAGAGCAAAGTTCAGGATCCATCTGAAAACATATCACAAGATGAAGTTGACAAGAATCCCGCACGCTACCTCCATCAAGCATCCAGAGTTAGAGCCTGACATTGACGACCCCAACTGGTCCTGTCGCTCCTGTGAAACACAGTACCCCACAAAAGCAAGATACCGAGCTCATCTGAAAGGCTGTCATGGCATGGTACTCGTGCCTCTATATGGCGATGACAAGTACGTGCCTGACATTGTACCTGATGAATTTGACCCTAATTTCTACTGCGCTGCTTGCAACATTACAAAGTCATCGAGGTCAACTTATCGTGGGCATTTGAAGCATTATCACCGCATGACGCTTACAAATTTGAACTTTAAGCCCCCTAAAAATCCTAACGATTTGCCTGAAATTGACGACCCAAACTTTTATTGTCGCGTCTGTGATATCACAAAAGCATCTCGTAAAGAATACCGCAACCATCTCCGTGATAAGCACCAAATGAAGCTGGCGCCCCTGTTCAAAGGTCCCAATGCGAATCCGAGTCTGGAGCCAGATATCGAAGATCCCAACTTTTACTGCCGCACTTGCGATGTTACCTACGTATCTAGAGCGAGATACAGAGTCCATCTTCGGCACACCCACAAGAAAGACCTGCCTTCTGAAAAGCCCACAGTAGTATCCAACAAGAATCCTGACATCTTGCCTGACCTCTATGATCCCAACTTTTGGTGCCGCTCCTGTTTGATTCGACTAGATACGCTGGCCAAGTACAGAGGCCATTGCCGTGTTATCCACAAGATGCAATTCAAGCCCATCAAAGGAAAACCAAAAATTACCTCCAAAGAACTGCCTGATCCAGACGATCCCAACTTTTACTGCAAGGTGTGCAAAATCACAAAAAAGGACCGTGCCATATATCGCAGGCATTGCTCTGTATCTCACTTTATGGTGCTGAATGATCCACGCAAAGGGCCCAATGCAAATCCAGATCTCGAGCCAGAGATTGACGACCCCAACTTCTATTGCCGTACCTGTGATTCTAAAAAGGCAAACAACAGCGCCTATCGTGAACATCTACGCAGAGTGCACAGTTTGGTGCTCGTTCCGCAATGCCCTAAACCTCATGTTCCATTGGAAATGCTGGAGAAGCTGCCTGACCCTAAAGACCCTACTTTTTACTGTTGTATTTGCGACAAGTCAAAGGGGACTCGAAAAGCGTTTCGTAATCATCTGCGTGAAGTACATAAAATGAACATTCCCTCCGAAAGTCGTGTGTTTGTGGACAAAGACCCCAACATCATTCCAGACATTGACGATCCCAATTTCTACTGTCGCTCCTGCAAGATTCACAAGCCTGATCGAAGACTGTACCGCAAGCACCTGCGAGCTGTTCATAAGATGGTCCTGAAACCGCTGAAAGGAGCAGAAAGCCGTGATCCCAATGCTGTGATAGATCCTGATGATCCCAATTTTTACTGCGCTTCCTGTATGCTGCACAAACCTAACAGAATCAAGTATCGCAATCACTTGAGACGCGTGCATCACATGGTGCTGGAGCCCATCTATAAGAAATGGCCCTTCCCAGAGGCTAATATCGATGTCAATGACCCCAACTTCCACTGCGCTAAATGCGACGTGACACTTAAGAGCCGAGGAAAGTATCGCCATCATGTGCGTTATGTGCACAAGATTATTCTCAAGCCTATTCGCCGTCGAAGGTATACCAATCCAGACATTGAGCCTGATGTCCATGACCCTAACTGGTACTGCAAGTCATGTCTTGTCACCAAGACCAGTCGTAGAGAGTATCGCAGACATCTTGTCACTTTCCACAAAATGAAATTGCAGCCTATTGTAAGCAGACCCAACAAGAAAGTTGCTCCAGATATCAATGATGCCAACAATTACTGCAAGTCTTGCAACATCACATTTGCCAACAAAACGAAATACAGGTACCATTTGGTCACTGTCCACAAGATGAATAGCCTTCGACGTGCGATTGGCTACCAGGCCTTGCCAGAGGTCAAAGACCCCAATTTCTACTGTAAGGTGTGCAAGCTGATTTACCCAGACAAGGAAAAGTACTGGAACCATTTAAGAAACAAGCATGACATGGATCCAGAGGCACCTACGTTTGATGATGGCCATGTGGTGGATGGGCATCAACAACAGCAACCAGCAGATGAGGAAGACATCAAACTAGAGCTACAAGACGAGCCTCATACAATGAACGACTTTAATGAGGAGTATGATGACCTAGACGATGATATGATCAAGCTGGAAGTACAGGAAGTACTTTATGAGGATGAGGATGACTTTGGAGAGAGTGCAGAGAGCTCAACTGTTGCTAATGAAGACAGAGGCCAAGCTTATTGTGAAGAAGACGATAACTGGAGTGAGGCATCTCACGTGGGCGTTTACAATAGAAACAATTCTGTCAATGGTGACAGTGAGCAAAGTCAAGCGGATGATTATGAACTGATGGACAACAGTGATGATGAAGATCTCTACAGGGAGCATTCTTCTGAGGATGGCGAAGGTGACGAGGATTATGCGTCTGATTAAGTATCACGAGTATAGCTATGCATAGTAATTAAGCATAAATAAAAAGAGTAATGTAAATCGTCCATCCTTTATTTGATATCATTATGCTCTTAGGAGTAAGTAAAAGAATACCCCTTTTGGGCTTTAATAAATAACTCTTCTATCGCACTATGGTGGTGTTAGTATATGATGTGCAATACATGAGCATTGAATGTAAATCTTACTTTGATAACAATAGGCGGTTCCTGAGTATTTGGGCGTGAAATCTCTGCCAATTCTTTGCCAGCCTGTACAGAATAGATACGGTTACTATCGCTCTCATACCAAGTGACTATGCTCGACTTACGCTGGTAGTTCCTCCTTCGATTAGTTGAGTCAATGACAATGTCTTTTTGCTCATCCTCAAAGTGGCACGCACTCGATCTGCCACCAAATCCAAATACGCCGTTGTCAGCGCTCTCCATTCGACGACCACAGGATCTGACATTTCAAACATAGGAGCAACCTCAACCTTGGGCTGTCCAGGTAGCAGCGAGTTTTTACGGTAGTTTTCAATGCCTCTTTCATAATCTTGTTTCTTTAGCGTGATAAACCCGGTATCCATTAATAGCCCACCTTGATAATAAAGCCATTTAGTTTAGAACACATAAGGAGTTTGTGTATTTGTGAATGCGAAAGGAGATGATTGTTATATGAATTATGCTACATACCATTTGCGTAGTCAGACAGGGGCGTCAATTGTTCAGTTCCTTCTATCACAGCACCCAGTAGCTTCTCCATAGGCTCAATTAAGGAATAAACCATCCATTGAGACAATTTGTGAAATGGAACCATCTGGTCCTGATCACCTAGGGCAGCACATGGCCATACATCTCCTAATTGAAAGGTTCCACCTTTGCAATTGCTAACATCTTCTACTGTCCAGATTTCGCCAATTTCCAATATAACGGGCCACAAGGTTTCCAAATGAATCAAGGGTCCTTTTTTGGTTTTGATTGTGGTTGGGTGGCATAAGAGGTAGTCTAAGAATATAAGGTTATTTTTTAATATACAAACAAATCAACCTTGCAACAAAGCGCCCCCCTTAGTACCCCCTTCCCCTTTTTTTTTCTGAAGTCTCCTCTCGTAGGATGTGTAATTACCCATCATATTTCCAGGTCGCGGAACCAGACCCTCTTCACCACCGAAATAGTCAGGGCGGCGCTGAATTGCTTGAGCAAGATGCTTTAATAGATCAAGTCTATCTTGCAATCCGATGAGCGATGTGGACGTGTCTGTCTTGAATCCTGCCAGCAAATCGTCCATTGTCAAACGTGCCAATGCCTCCGCTATTAGGTGACACAATAACAAATGTTAGTTAAAGTTGATGTGCTCCCCTTGATTAGACACTTACAGTCAACTCGGTGAGGTTGGTTGGGATTGATTGAAAATGTGCCCGCCATAAACATTTCAAGAATAGCAATTGCAATACCTTCTCTTCTCTTGTAGAATCTATTCGTGCTGGTTTCACGGAAAGAGTAGCTCTGATTTGGATCAATGTCCAGCAAGACACCGATGGTAAACAAGTCCAAAACCCGTCTGGTCTGTTCGGTTGCATCAATCCCAAGACTAGCCCAGCTATTGATTAAAGTCTGAATACGAGGACGACCGCCAGCATCGAAATGGCGCCAACGACCATGAACAGGAATTTGAGATGGATCATCATAGTCTCGTTTGATCAAGGATATAACAAATTGAACCATATCTTGCAGTTTGCTGGTATCAATGTCGAAATGCTGGAGCTTGTTCTTGACAGCTGCCTCTTGGACCTTGAAACATCTCTCACGTACCGCATGCAGACTTAGGAGATATTCATTGTTCTTGTGATGAGTGTGATTATAAGTACTGGCAGGTACCATGTTGATGTATTAGTCGATTATTTTACTTTCAAAATAAAATAAAAGAATACAGTAGTAGTTGTAGTTGTAGTAAAGAAAAATTAAAGGAGAAAGAGAGGCCTAAAAAATGGTACAACAAATAACAGTTATATAGTATATTTCAATTCAAGGAGACTCGATGTTGTTGTTGTTGTTGTTGTTGTTGTTGTCCATTTACAATGGAACAAGATATAGGCCAGGAGGCAAAATAGAAGATGAATATAGCCATGCCAATATCCATTGAACATTATGCAGCAGCGCAGTAATGATACAGAAGAAAATCTCTCAAATGCCCCTTTCTGTAATTGCATGTAGATCCAATACGCATGCTTTTGCTAGGCCGCTGAAAAGGAGCTTGTCAAATGAGGCTTTTTAAAGCTCTGCATAGCTTATACACTATGGATATAGTTTTGGATTTGTTCTTTTCTTGGCTATTCGTTTCAGTCATGATAGTAAGATCACCATCAGTTATCTAATCTATGGCGTGGCTACATATTCTACAAGTTGGTTCATTGGCCACGGTCTGTTCAAATAGCTCGTATGTTACTATAAATTGCGCTTGCGCGCACAAATCACTGCTTGGACAGAAGTGAATGATATTCCGTAAACTTTGACTGATAACTTCGCCTTGGCTCATAATGTGATGGCTTGTATGAAGCCACTATTCCAATTAGTAGCTTGCAATGGTGCCTGCTGCTACCACATTTCAGCTTCATCAAGCTTTCAAAGGGGCATCAAATAACACTACGGTCTTAATATTTACTAAAGCTTTACTCTGTTACTTTTCTCTTTTACGTGAGAGCGCTATGGTTTATCTGGAGTTGTTGATCTAACTCTTCTAAGATGCTCTGCGTCTATATCAGTTGGAAAAACGTTAAACGGATAGACAGTATAGTTCAATACCTTTTACTGCTCTATAATAAGCATAACACAGCAAAATATGGATGCACCGGAATCGTGGTTTCTTGTGTTATAAGCCGTTTTAGACCTCCAGAATAGCGCCATACAACTGCTTTTACTTAGCACTTGCTTCCTGACATCTCTGCTCAACTTTTTGAGGACCCAACAAACATGGCCAAAAATCGACCAAAAAGCATGAGGGGTACCTCATGGTTTTCTTGGAAAATCAAACGATCGCGTTTTTCACCTTGAAAATGAAGACTTTTACTATGGTACATAATAAATCAAAATGTTTCTCTCGATTCAACGCAACCTCTGAAACCACTTTTATGAGGTCTTCATATGCAAAATCTGGATATCTTCGCTAAAAACCTCATTTCATATTTTGCCAAATTGCTCAATAAATTTGTTCAAAAAACCTATTATACTTAGCACCGTTGGATGCGCCGTGAAAAGAACTCCAAGAAAGCTTAAGGAAATACGGGATGATTATCACAAATGGTATGGTCGAATCTCGCAAAATAGATGGTCCAAGTCGATTTTGATTAAATTCTGACCAATCTACTGCAGAAAAAGTCAGTCGGAATTCAATATTTTTGGCTGGCAAAATGCCTTTCTTGTGAAGATAATAGATGTTTGTGATGCAAATAGCCAGGGAATCGCGAGTTAGAAGGTACGTTTGCTTAGTCCAACTGCTTTATTTTTCTTCTTTTGTGATTTTTGACATCTAAAAAATTAGATTGTCGTAAACTGTTATTCAAATGTGAATCCTGATGCGAAAAACAAAGTCGCCACTTACTCAAATGGACATGCTCAAATAAAAATACTATTTCTGCCGAGCAAGCAAAAGGATTTGCAGTAAAAATCTCGAACGCCATCGCCAGTGCTACAGAGGATGACACTTCAGTTCCATTATGGCTAGACAATCTGTTTACCTTTCGCTAATACGTTTGTTCATTTCGGATCTGTTTGACAATATCCAGGAAGAGATATTTAGTTTAACAAAGGTGCACAAAAACCGAATTTTTGTATCACTCCCAACGCTTAGTAAAATAGTGCCAAGCACAAATCTCATTGACTGATAAAACTTGACCCAAAGATTATAATTCACCGGTACGACTTTTTTTTTTAATGACGAGTCTAATAGTCTTTTGAATTGATCATTTAGAACTCTTCATATGAAATCATAATAAATATTCTGTATTGTCCTCAAATCCAATGCAAACGCATTCAGTAATTCTTTGATCGACTGATATTTTACATATACTGCATTTACTGAAATGTAATTACTCCGTGCCGGTTTCACATTGACATTGCTTGAGAAAGATGGGCAGCATGGCTTGGAATGAATAATCGAGAAAGTGATATTCTGCAAAATAATTGCAAACCTAGAAGGATCAAGCGTGGTGTTGCTTATCAGGACTATTCTTTTTGAGAAGTACGTGCAAGATGGATGGAGAAGAGGCAGGATGCATGAGCGAATAACATGATCTCGGTGAGATTTCTCCGTACATCCTTACGGCCAACATTTCCCCGCGCCTACATCATTTCATTTTAAATGTTAGTGTAAAAGGTGAAACAGACATGTATTCATAAAGCCTAGGATTTTGCATTTACATGCCTTATATGATAGATGCGGGTGTGATACTCAAGGCACATATGGAAATCACTATGACAGATTGTTGCCATAACAGCGCTTTCCAAGTTTGACCACACTGGCATATTTTACGTTTTTCAATGATATATGTTGATGTGGTACAAATGTCATCACCAATGCATAGATTGCAGTTAGATCTGAGTTGCATGTGTGTATACATGTTATTCTTGAATTATATATCAGTTTGGCCACCAAACCACACTAGGTTACAAGACGAAACCGGAGAAGGCGGCCTACTACTTTTCGTGTCATCCTACATTGGAACACAAAGTGAGTACCATATTGCGTTTTGGCTTGGCAAATATGTAATTGATGATTTAATATATTCTGATGGAAATTCGATCAAGAGAAAATTTGAAGATGGCATATGCCTATTCGAGCAATAGGGCTACTACAAACGACAGCAAAGCAAGACAATGGTCCAGATTCGACTGGCTGTGTTTCTCTCAAGCTATTTTTTTTAAGGTTTTTTTCCATTTCGATTGTGCACAGAATGATTTTTGGGGGTTCTCATATAAATATAGAGGCATTGTTCTCACATTTCTCTATTTTTTCCTGATTATTTTTATAATTTTTGTATGGAAGAAAAACCAGCAGATCACATAGAGGTGTCTCGTCACCAACCGAAATACAATGATGCGTCCTCCACCGAAGACACCATTGCACACGACGACAACGTTGGCAGAAATGGTACTTATGGAGAGACAGATGTCAATCAAGTCAATGTCCAAGGTAAAAAATACCAACGCTGCTTGCCTATCCACAACACATGTACTCACATTTTGACAGGTGCCAAAAATGAGTATCAGACATTGAAACGGGAGCTCAGTCGAATGAGTCGTAAAAGCACTCCTTCCAAAGCCGAGGAAGGTCAGGCAGGTTCAGATGACTTTAACTTGGATGAATTTCTGCACGGCATCCACCGAGAACAAGAAGAAAATGGCCAAAAGCGTAAACATTTAGGTGTGTCTTGGAAGAATCTTCACGTCGAAGTAAATATGGCAAAAGAATTTTGCGGAAATCTCCAAATAACTCACGCATGAATTTAATGTATTCAGGGTTTAGGTGCAGACGCTTTCACCATTCCAACTGTGATTTCAAACATCATGGCAGTATTAAAGTTTTGGAGACTGTTTAAAAAGAAGAATGCAAGTACAAAAGTGATTATTGACGATCTCACTGGATGCTGCCGAGATGGCGAGATGCTTTTGGTGCTCGGTGAGTATAATGTGATGATTCCATGCGAGCATCAAGCTGACATTGGTTGTCTTTAGGTCGTCCTGGAGCTGGTTGTATGTGTTAGAGTTTAATGATTTCAACTAAATGACGACTAAATATTGGCTGTTTTTAGGTACTTCTTTCCTCAAGGTGATTGCCAACATGAGAGGTGCTTACACACATGTGGGCGGCGAAGTCAATTATGGCGGCATTGATCCCAAAGAATTTGCATCGAAATACAGGGGCCAAGTGTGCTATAATGAAGAAGAGGATCAGCACTACCCCACTTTGACTACCAAACAAACACTGCAATTTGCTCTCCGTACAAAGACACCTGGCAAGCGTTTGAATGAAGAATCCAAAAAGGATTTTGTAGATCGTGTCATCTACTTGCTCGGCAACATGCTTGGTTTGACAAAGCAAATGGACACCATGGTCGGTAATGCCTTTGTGCGTGGTCTCTCTGGTGGCGAACGTAAGCGTCTCTCTATTGCAGAACAAATGACGACGCGTAGCACCATTAATTGCTGGGATTGCTCTACTCGTGGTTTGGATGCGGCTTCTGCCCTTGATTATGTCCGGTCTCTTCGCATCATGACAGATGTATTCAACATCACCACCATTGCAACTCTTTATCAAGCTTCCAACAGTATTTTCAACTTGTTTGATAAGGTGCTACTTTTGGACGAAGGCTACTGCATCTATTATGGCCCTACCAGTGGTGCTAAGGATTATTTTGATGCTCTTGGATTCCACAGACCCTCCAGAAAATCACTGCCTGATTTTCTCACTGGTTTATGTAATCCTGTCGAACGTGAATTTAAGCCAGGTTTCGAGGATTCAGCACCCAAACATGCATCAGAGTTTCAAACTGCCTATCTACAATCAGAGATCTACAAGACCATGTTGAATGACTTTCAAGCATACAACGAAGCAGTGGAGAAGGAGAATAAGGCAGCTAATTTTGCTGACGCTGTTCACGAAGAACACCAAAAACGTGCAAAGAAAAGCACACCTTATATTGCGTCTTTCTACCAACAAGTCAAGGCACTTACTATTCGCCAGCATCATTTGCTCATCAAGGACAGACAAGCCCTCATCTCTCGATACGGCACAATTCTCATTCAGTCTCTGATTACAGCTTCTTGCTTCTTCCAACTTCCACTCACTGCAACGGGCGCGTTTTCGAGGGGTGGTGCTCTTTTTTTCGCAGTTCTGTTCAACTCTTTTATCTCCCAGTCAGAGCTAGTGAGGTTTCTCACAGGACGGCCCATCCTCGAAAAACACAAGCAATATGCTTTGTATAGACCCTCGGCCTTCTACATTGCTCAAGTCATTATGGATATTCCCTATGCTTTAGTGCAAGTATTGCTGTTTGAGATTTGCGCCTACTTTATGATGGGCTTGAACTTGACAGCTGGCAGATTTTTCACCTTCTTTATTGTCCTGTTCTTTTTGAACATGTGCATGAATGGTTTCTTCCGTTTCTTTGGCGCCATAACCTCTAGCTTCTTCTTGGCTACTCAAATCACTGGTGTACTGCTTATTGCCATCACATCATATACTGGCTATACTATTCCCTACAAGAAAATGCATCCCTGGCTGTTCTGGATCTATTACATTAATCCAATCACATACGCATACAAGGCCTTGCTTTCTAACGAAATGTCGGGTCAAGTGTACTCTTGTGTTGGTATTGGAAACGCTGTTCCTTATGGGCCTGGTTACGATGACTGGAACTACATGGTGTGTACTATGCAAGGTGGTGTCGCCGGTGAAGACTTTGTTCGTGGTGATAGTTATCTTTTAGAAGCATTGAGTTACAAGCCATGGCAACTGTGGGCTCCTGATTTCGTAGTTGTTGTCGCCTTCTTCCTGTTCTTTACATTTATCACTGCTTTGGCTATGGAGTTGGTTGGCATGTCCAAGTCATCTACATTGACCAAGCTCTATTTACCTGGCAAAGGTTCGTATTATCTCAATATCCCCTCAAATGTCATCTTACTAATTGTGTAATTAGCACCCAAACCTCGCACCATCGAAGAAGAAGATGCACGTCGTTTAGCACAGCAAAAGGTCACTGACAATATGGACAAAATGTCCACTGGCACAACTTTCTCATGGCAACATGTTCATTACCACGTTCCTTTCAAGGGTGGCCCACTTCATTTGTTGAACGACATCTCTGGTATAGTCAAGCCTGGGCATCTCTGCGCTTTGATGGGCTCCTCCGGCGCTGGTAAAACCACGTTACTTGATGTGCTTGCTCGTAGAAAGACCATTGGTAAAGTAGAAGGCAATGTGTACCTCAATGGTGAGGTCCTGATGACTGATTTCGAGCGTATCACTGGCTACTGTGAGCAAATGGATATTCATCAACCTGCTGTTACTGTGCGTGAAGCCCTTCGTTTCTCTGCCTACCTTCGTCAACCCTCCGATGTGCCCAAGGAGGAGAAGGATGCTTATGTCGAGCAAATTATTTTGCTCTTGGAAATGGATGATATTGGAGACGCTCAAATCGGTGATGTTGGTAGTGGCTTTGGCATCTCTGTAGAAGAACGTAAACGTCTGACTATTGGTATGGAGCTCGTTGGAAAACCTCAGTTGCTCTTCTTGGATGAACCCACCTCTGGTCTGGATGCTCAATCTTCTTTCAACATTATCCGTTTCATTCGTAAGCTTGCTGATGCTGGTTGGCCTGTGCTTTGTACCATTCACCAACCTTCTGCTATCTTGTTTGAATACTTTGACCACCTGTTGCTCCTTGTGCGAGGTGGACGTACTGCCTACTATGGTGAGATTGGCAAAGATTCGCGTACCATGATTGATTACTTTGAGTCCAATGGTGGTCCCAAATGCTCCCCTGAAGCCAATCCCGCTGAATACATTCTCGAAGTAGTAGGTGCTGGTACTGCCGGTAAAGCCACTAAAGATTGGGCAGACGTCTGGCAGAATTCAGAAGAGGCCAAGTCCCTCGCTGTTGAACTGGATGAAATCGATAGAACCGCTGACAAAAAACCTACTCGTAAGGCTGACATGTATGCTACTCCCCTGAGCACTCAATTCCGTCTCGTCATGAGCCGTATGACATTTGCTTACTGGCGTGCTCCCGACTACAATATTGGTCGTTTCCTCAACATTATGTTTACTTCCTTGGTCACTGGTTTTACCTTCTGGAAGCTTGGTTCTTCCTCTTCAGACATGATGAACAAAGTGTTTGCTTTGTTCAGTACCTTCATCATGGCCATGACCATGATTATTCTGGCCCAACCAAAATTCATGACTGAACGTTTGTATTTCCGTCGTGAGTATGCTTCGAGATATTATAGCTGGTTACCATTTGGCATCAGTGCTGTGCTAGTGGAAATCCCTTACATCATCTTCTTTGCTGCTGCCTTTATGTTTGGTTTCTACTGGACCGCTGGTATGAACAACACCCCTGAATCTTGTGGTTATTTCTACATTACCTTTGTCGTATTGGTCTGCTGGGCTGTAACCTTGGGTTTCTGTATTGCTGCTGTAGCTGAACTGCCTACTATGGCCGCTGTGATTAACCCACTGTTCATCTCTATTCTCATTCTTTTCTGTGGTTTGATGCAAGCACCATCCGCTATGCCCAAATTCTGGAGCTCTTGGATGTATTGGCTTGATCCTTTCCATTACTACATTGAAGGTTTAGCTGTGAATGAGTTGGCTGATCTCCAGGTACAATGCACTGATGAAGATTTGCTCAAATTCCCCCCTCCTCCTGGTCAAACATGTGGTCAATACATGGCCAATTTCTTTTCAAATGGTGCTACAGGCTATGTGGCCAACCCTGATGCTGTTCAACCAGAGCAATGTGGCTATTGCACGTATAAATCAGGTCCTCAATTTTATGAAACTGGTATGCAATGGAGTGCTTCTCACAAGTGGCGTAACTTTGGTATCCTCATTGCCTTTTTCATATTCAACGTTTTCGTCTTTATCTTGGTCGTTTTCTTGAGAAGAAAGGGTAGACGCTAATTTCTAAATTTTCTATAATTTAATTCACTAAAAGTCCTAATTATTTATGAATTCTATATTCTGTACATACATTTTAGTAATAAACTAATGATTAAAATGACTCTCAGATCGGGGTGTTGTATGCTAAGTATTATAACTGATTCTGTGTATCAATGTTTCTGAACAATATTATACGAGTGTTTATGCTTCGAATGGCTCTCTACCTTCACTTTGCTTCGGTGAGAACCAACCTGCGCAGCGGCAGCTAGCTCTACCGATTGTCCTTGCGTATCTTATCAAATTACTGATACTTTCATTTCGAACCACCACTAGCACATGAAAACCCTTCATATTATCTGTGGATTTGATGATTACACTGTGACTAAAAAAGATTCAAATTTATCTGAATATATTAGAATTTGACCAATTTTTTCTGAAATATCCTAAAAATGTCTTAATCACTCTGAATTTGTCCAAATCCCTTTGGAAATATTCAGATAAATTCATGCAGATGAAAATTAATAAATTAAGCTTAGAGAAATTTGGAGAAATTTAGAAAAATTTAGATATTATTCAGCGATTTTTTTTACCACGAAACGATCTTCATCAGAAAAGCGAGTAGTCATCGCTACGCCATTTTTATTTCTTATTTGTCAACTGCTTCAGATTCTTTCTTGTAAGGGAGTCGTGCTCCATTTTTTATTTAGAGGTCTCTGAATGTCATAATAGGATAGGAAGAAGAAAGAAAGAAGATATATTATTACAGAGCAACAATAGAAAGGAAACAATATTAACTAGTTATTATTATTAGGAATGAATTTTCAGCTTTGCATGCGACCGGGCAAAAGAATGAGCATTAAGATATAGAACAGTGGGATGGCTAGTAATTTGGAAGGATGTACAAACATCAGTTTGAGAGAAAGGTGACCATGATGTTGGCGTATATTTATTTTATGCAAAGTCAAATATAGAATCATCATTGTATACTTTCAAACCAATTCTTTTCATATCAGGCCAAACAAAGAAGAGCTTCCCAGATATGGCAGACTTCAGAACTGCAACTGAAGACAAAATATCATCGACAGCTATTATATCCAGATCCCATGCACCATTGGAAGTATCCGAGTTGGCATTGTCAAGGAAACATTCAGGGATGCCGGACGTTGATACCGTTACGTTCTGATAGACTTGGCAAACGGCTAGAGCATGTGATGCACCAGAGAAGTTGTGCTCAAAGATGAGCAACACCTTTACCAGCAATGGTAGCGAACTGCGGCGAGCACAATTGACCAGGGCATGGTCTGACAGCTTCTTCTTTCTACTTGGTGGATCGAAAGTAGAGTCGATCGTGATGTTGTTGCCAAGTCGTAGTGAGGTAGCGCACTTGATCTGCGGATTGACACGAGCAGTGTTGTAATGTTTGCACAACATAGAAGCAATAGACGGTGACAGCTTGATGTCGCCCATATTCAATGATTTCGAGAAGGTGATGGCAGTATCCGTCGAATTGTCAAATGCAATTGTCCTTCTTTTTTCATAGCTGTTACATGCAATATCCAGCATGATATTTTCCGCTTGTTTTGCAACTTGACTACAGCCATGGATCCTCTTCTTGATCATTTGGATCCTTCTCTCCAAAACACGGCAACTGTACTGAGGCATGGGGCCTATCTTTCGAATCACCATCGTGATATGCTCCAAATAATGTTCGCTGGTTGGAAAGAATTTTGCTGAGATGTGAAGACGAAGAAATTGGTGCCACTTGGTTATTAGTTCCTCCAATTTTTGTATCTCGCTCTCAGATATATCCTGCTGCAAGCATACTGAGCAAATCAGAGATATTGTACGTAGGGCTTCCTTGGCAGCTTCAGAGACAGTAGGATCCAAATGGCATAAATCAACGTGGTCGATAAGAACTGTGGGCACAAAGTACTTCAGGAACACCAACCAATCTACTCCTCGAGCTGTCCCTCCCTTGCTGAAGACATCCATGAAATTGCCTTCGAAGATCAAAGGTGATGTGCTTGCAAGTTGGTTCAAGCAAATGCTAATCTTCTCTATTTGTCGCGGCTTCAAGCGAAGAATCGATTCCTTGTCCGTAAACATTTTCTTGATTCTTGGTCCCATGTTTTGTCCAAACAAATGAAATTCATCCAAGCCCACAAACGTTGGATCAATGAATGATGGCAGGTTTCGAAACAAAGAAGGCCTCTCGATACCAAGTTCTGGTGCACTGGATTTGTATTCTTCAATTGTTAGCAATCGTAGTGGTCGATCTTCATCATTAGCTGCTAGTTGAAAAGAAATAACACCATTTTTGCTGATGCCAATGATCGTACAAAAACGGCAGCCTTGAAGCGACGTATGGGATGCGAGGAAATTGAGTTCGCTGACGCTGGGGATATCACCAAAGGATCCCATGAGGTGGACTTTGAGCGAGATATTTGTTGAGTTGTTTCTCTGCACTTGTAGTCCATCACGAGCCAATTTTTCCAATTCGCTGACAAGGTATTGAAGGTAACTGTCTAATCTCTTGGTGTTTGGGATAATGGCGAAATCAATCAGGAACTCCATTTTGTATCTATAGGCAGAAGGAAGGTTCAAGATTTGTAGCATGACCAAGTTCAACTTTGCACCGCCTTTTTTGTGTGATTGGAATCCATCTACGTACAGGGACAGGCCAATGTCGTATCTATTGTTGAATAGATGCTTGTTGTTCACTAAATTTTGCATTATATCGCCCTTGAACCTTGCTCTGATGGATGAATTCTCGTCATCAAGCACTCTGATAAAGTTTGGATTTTCGAACAACGTGGCAAGTTGTGGACCGATTGGCAGCATCTTGATGGTTCTTCTGGGGCTACCATCAATATCGAATCTCTTTTCAAAGCACACTGGACATTCGTCCCCATCCTCTGGTTGAAAGGCATAGCAATACCTGATGCACACATCGACTGTATAAGGTGCAAAAGAAGTTGCCCTTTTCCTAGCAGAGCTGGCCTTGAATGTTGAGACTATAGGCGTTGCAACTTATCATAGTAGATGTTAGCGCTTTGAAACAACCAACTTTGTTATGGTTACTTACAAGGATACGTTTGGTTGTGTCATTGAACAAGTCTTCGGATGCTTGAGTTTGTCAAGTTTTCTTCCCTGAAGATCTTGTGGATCTCAGTATTTTTAGCATCCAGTGGTGGTAATGCCTCGCAACTGTCAGACATCTGATTGTCACTATAGTTAGCGCCGAGTCCATCAGAGTCTCCAAAGTCATATCCGCCATCGCTACCAGGTTCACCATCGCTGTTTTCTTGCTGACTATTTCTTTCAGTGTAAGATCCAGCCTGAGTATCATGTTCAGTTCTTGCTTTCTTTCTTTGATACTGATTAGTCTCCAGGTTGTGCAAGTCTACAGTTGTTGTGTCATTTGAAGAGTGCCAAAGTTTATGCTGTTTTTCATGTCTATTGCGAATTCTTCGGCAACACTGGGCACAAAAAAATGGCATCGTAAATAATATTAGAAATAAAGGTTAAACACAAATCTGTCTGGATTGTCTTTTATGCTCCTTATATTGCATGCGTTTCAATCATACAGATTGAAACGCATGCAATATTGAACATAGAATACACTTTGATTGGTATTGAATAGCCATGTGAATATCTATAGTGAAATCTAATAGTTCACATTGCATGCGTTTCAATCTGCATGATTGAAACATCAATGTCTGTGATAGCGGGTGCTATTAATTATTGGAAACATTACTAGACCAGTTTTTCTCTGTCTTTCATAGATTGTTACGCATTTATCGCAATTGATACAACCATCTCAAAGCACTGCTCTATTTTACACTTTACACTAATCACTTATTCAAAAATGGATCAAGCACAACAACTATTCTTACAAAGATTGGAGAACATTGAACAGGAGTTGTCTAATCTTAGCAAACAGGTCAAGGAATGTAATGACAACCAGACCGAAGTAAAAGATATGCTGCAGCATATTGTTCAACAATCTACCTCTTCGAGCACGGCCAATGTTGCGAGACTAGATGGAGTGATATGCCGTCCAAGCAAAGCAGATAGCAAACATCTGGAGGAGCTTTCTGTTGAGCTATGCATCAACGTCCTTGAGGAGCATCGATTAGGTGGGGAAAACCTTGATGGCAAGAAGGTCTGGGAGCTTGTCAAAGATGCAGCATACAACCAGGCAAAGAAAGCTGATAGACAGTTCCCAAATATCACTTTTAGCAAGCTGGACAACAGGTTTCAAGCCTTGTTAATCAAGACCGTCATAGACGATGTAGCCAAAAAGGGCGTTGACATCTCTGGGTTCTTCAAAGATTGGTTGCCGCAGTTTGCTGTCTCCAAATCATTGTCTGGCATAATCGATTACAAATACAATGCCAGGCCAAGCAATGACACCGCAACTTACCAAACCCAATTCGATGAAGATGATCTGGTATTTTCTGAGGGATCCCAAGCGCAATCCGAAGAAGATTCTGTCGACGATGACGAAAATTCGATTGTAGACAAGATCAATTTTCATGTTTCTCGAAATACTGGATCACAAAAGTAAATGCTGCATAGAGAAAAGTACTCTTTGATACTAATCGTAATATTATAGAAGAATCAGCACGCAACATATGCCTCTAGTAGAACAAGTAATTAAGTTTTCATAGATATAGCGCAGTAACTCACATTTCTTTTCCATTTTATAATGTGCACTATCATTATTATAGCCAATGCAGCCATCTCCAGTATCAAAAAATGTATCTGCATCAAACAAATCAAAGGCAAAGGAATATGAAAAGCACAGAAGATATTCATCACCAGAAACGCAAGATTTGCAAAGACAGTAAGTTTCTCATCATCACCTGGAGTTAGCCATTTTATGCTGATATTCTCTCTATCTCTTAAATTGTAGAAACATAAAGGTAATCGTAAGGCATTGATATCATAGATGGAGCTACTTATCTTTGTGTATTAGGGACCCAACAATAAGAGAGTGCGCAAGTCGTAAGGAATTCTGATCTCTATGCTTATTCTGATTAGGCTACGCTTTGTTGTTACTGCCCGTAATGTAATATCATCATGTTTCTCTGTAGTAGTAGCGCAATTATTATATGTCAAGAAATAAACAATGGTTTCTATTATAATAGCACTAAATGCTATTATATTTCTGATTTATTTTTTTATGAATATTTTGCAAACCACCCTAAACTACATGAATTTTTCTGAATTTTCCAGAATGAATTTCTCTGAATTTTTCTGAATTAAGTGAGCACTTTTCCGAATTTCTAAGAATGCCATTCAGAAAAATTTCGACAAATTTTTCGTAAAGTGGCAGTTTTCCGAAAAATGGATTCAGAAATATTCAGCAATATTCAGATCTTTTTTAGTCACAGTGTTATGTGATACCCTACATCCATATACACGTAGCTAATTCATATACGGGCAAGCAGCGTACTGGTATTGCCCCTTTTTAGTCCTTAGTGTCCCTAATACAGCAAAATATGAATGCATTTGAGCTGCGTTTTCTAGCGTTCAAGGCCGTTTTAGATTGTCAGAATAGCCCCAAACGGTTGCTCTCGTCTGGCAGTTACTTTCTGACACCTTTGCTCAACTTTTTGGGGACCAAAAAAATATCGTCGAAAATCAAACGATCGCATTTTTCACCTTGATAATGAAGACTTTTACTATGGGATATCTTGAATCAAAATGTTTCTATCGATCCAAAGCAACCTCTGAAATCATCTTTGTGGGACTTGGATATGTAAAATCTCGACTTTTTGGCCAGAAACCTCTTTTCATATTTTACTAAATTGTTCTATAATTTCAGCAAAAACACCTATTACAATTAGCACCATTGGAAGTGCCTTGAAAAGTACTTCAAGAATGTATTAGGAAGCATAGGATAATCATCATAGTTTATATAGTCGAATACGACAAAATAGATTATAGAAGTCGAAAAAAAAAACAAAATCTGTTCAATCTTGAATAGAAAAAAAAAAAAAAAAAAAACTGAATTTGAATCGATTTTGGCAGCGGCTTGCTGCTGGCTGACCTAAATGCCTTTCTGTTGTTGATGGCAATGATGATTGCGATGCTGACTAAATAGGATCATGGAATTGAAAGGACAGTTACTCAGCGCAAATACGTTTTTTTGGAGAGGTTTGCCTCATGAAGGTGTCTTTTGCAATGACAATATCTCAAAAAAAAAGTCGCTGTAGATCTTACATAACTCCTGAATTTACTTATGACCAGCTTTATGTCGCCATCTTATTAAGAACATCAGCAGCGGCGAATGATATGACAATTCTATTATCATAAAATGGCGATTGTGATGTACAAATGCTGCATAAAATTTGGATTTTCTTTCACATTATTGCCCCAATAATAGGCTTCGTTTGATATCAGTGTAAGCAAAAAGGATGTTGAAGTTGATATCTCTTCTCCTCCACCTGGTGGCTCTAATATAACCTTTCTTTTTTTTTTTTTTTTTTACTAATAATAAAAAGTTTAAAATCTACTTGATATACCAGAATTTTATTATATCTGATTTAAAATGTCTTTGGCGAGAGCCCACAGGGCGACGCCGGCATCGAACGTAGCGAGATAGATTGGCTAGTACAGTAAATACTGTATATAGATGCTTTTGAAGCGTATGGAAAGTAGGTGGCAAATTATATAGCACTATTGTTAGCCATGCTATTCTTCTTGCATTCTATATTTAATAACGCCAGTCCATCGAAATACTTGTTCGACCAACTTCTTTTCTTTTTGGGGCTTTGGAGGTGTCTAGGGACCATATATTTATTACATTACGATGAGCATCTCGACTCTTCGGTTGGTTTCCTGACCTACGCTTTGCTTTGGTGGAAACCAAACTACGTTCAGGTGGCTCGCGCTGCCGCGGACCTTTGGCTAATATCGCAAAATTAGTAATAATAGTTAAAATATTAGAAGAAACTTGATTGTTGATTGATAGTAATTTAATATAAATCTCTGATCATATATGAGCCATGCCTGACAAATACCTGACTGCTCAGTTTCCATACTGGTGTTGTAAAAGTGTCTAGGGACTTAACATTTATTATGTTATGATAATCACAATGTAATGTGCACATTAACTCGCATTTCAGGCACAAACGAATGTTGAGCAAGATAGCTAGGGAGATTAATCACAGCAAACTAGTTTCAACCTCAAACCATCCGATTCTTTGGAATTTGTTATCATTTTGAACTCGTGTGCTATGACAGTAGACACATCATAGAGGATTCAAATTCATACAAGATGCAGGTGCGTAGCAAAATAGTACATTCACCGAACAAGTTTTGCCGAAATTATGCGATTTTCAGTCATTATTATTATTAGAAGCCTCATACTTGGTAAACATGACAGCATAAGATAGATAATTGTGAAACGATCGTTTGAAACATCAAAATGTTCACTAGATATGTGTCAAGGTAGAACACAATATAAATCTAGACAACTGTATGAATACTTGATTCAAAAGCCTGATCAAGCGTGTGAGTGATGCTGTAATCTATTTCGAATGTTGAACAGTCGAAGTGCGGTTCATCAAAATTCCAATTTATGAGATTATTACGTTCATATTAGGCTATAATAATCATAAACTAAGAGCGTTGTCATGGCAACTGAAGATGCTAATGATTGACCTGTGTAACAGAGACCAAGTCGTGCAACATTTGACATTTTGATTATGCAGCATCTAAGCGCAGATGGCTGTATCGTATATGAATAACATAACTATCCATTTGCTTCCATGGCTTGTGGTACTAAAACTCGATCTGGAAAAAAAGTGTTAACTTTTCTCCGGATCATCTATAAATTTTGCGCTGCCAAAAAGCTCGCTGCTATATCTCTCGACCGATTTCATAGCGTTCAAAATAGACTTTCAAATCAACACATTTGATCACTGTCCTTGACTTGTTTTTATATAGCATTGCATCTTTTAAATTATGAAGAATGGCGATAGAGAGATTTCGTTCATGGCGGAATAGTTAGGCCGAACATGATGAGAAACAGTTTTGGGGCTATCCAATCTATTTCTTATTTTGTGTCCAATACACGTATTTGAAACATAGTTTTTAATACATATCGGGGCATAGCGATGTAATAAGTATATCTTTTGCCGTATAGAAGGATGTTAAAACATGGGTAAAAAAAAAACTGAGTTGAGTGAATTGTCTAGACGTATAAAGGAGATTTCAAATCGAAAAGCATCCAAAGCTTGTCTCTTTCTTTACTGTTGCCTTTTTGTCATTTCCTGAAAACGATACGTTAGAGTATCTCATCTTACTTTCTTAAAAATGGATATGCCATCAGCGGATGAAGGTATAAGGGCTGATTACCCTAACCGAGACGATAGATATGATCAACGACAGCAAATTCGAAATGAGAATAATCCAGTATCCAATGCAAACATGAACGAATCTGCCCCTTCTTTTGATGCTGATAGTGCCAGCTTCTCGAATATGGAAAGAACAGACACTCGCAGAACGGAAGGTGGTTATGGTGAAACGGAAGGTAACGCTGTCGACATTGATGGTGCTATTGAGCGATATCAATCTATCCGCCGTGAGTTTACTGCTCAATCTCGCAGAAAATCCTCAATTGCTGCTACTTCTGGTGCTGCCGCTGCTGCTGCCAGTGCCGATGTCGAGAAGGGAGAACAACAAGACTTTGATTTGACTGAATATCTCACTGAGCAACACTCTCAAATCATGGCTGCTGGCTTGAAGCCCAAAAATATGGGCGTCATTTGGAAGAATCTCACTGTGCAAGGTTTAGGTGCTGATGCCAAAGTGATCTCTACCAATTGGACTTGGATCACATCCTTTGTACAATTCTGGAAATGGGGAAAGCATCAAGGCACTGATTTCACCATTCTAAAAAACAACAATGGTTTCTGTAAGGCAGGTGAAATGCTTCTCGTACTTGGTATTGTATAATCGAATGATTCTATATATAAACCACAAACTAACATTGGTTATTTCTAGGTCGTCCTGGTGCTGGTTGTATGTGTTTTGGTCGAATAATTTTATGTAGTTACAACAAATTAACATTTATTCTTTTTAGGTACTTCTTTACTGCGAGTGCTCGCTAACATGCGTGCTTCTTACACGAGCATTGAGGGTGAAGTGACTTATGGTGGCATTGATGCTGAGGAGTTTGGTAAGCACTTCAGAGGAGAAGTCTGTTACAATGAGGAAGAAGATTTGCACTATCCTACTTTGACTACGCAACAAACACTTCGTTTTGCTCTCAAAAACAAGACTCCTGGAAAGCGTCTTCCCGGTGAATCCAAGGCAGAGTTTATTGATAAGCTTCTTTACATGCTGGGAAACATGCTTGGTTTGACAAAGCAAATGAACACCATGGTCGGTAATGCCTTTGTGCGTGGTCTCTCTGGTGGCGAACGTAAGCGTCTCTCTATTGCTGAACAAATGACCACTCGTAGCTCCATCAACTGCTGGGATTGCGCCACTCGTGGTTTGGATGCCTCTTCTGCTCTGGATTATGTCCGCTCTCTCCGTATCATGACTGACATCCTCAACAAGACGACCATCTCTACTCTTTATCAAGCCTCAGACAGTATCTTTCATCTCTTTGACAAGGTCATGGTGCTGGATGAAGGTCGCTGCATCTACTTTGGTCCTACTAGCACTGCAAAGGAGTTTTTTGTCGACATGGGGTTCTATTGTCCTGACCGTAAGTCAACGCCTGATTTCTTGACTGGTCTCTGTAACATGAATGAACGTGAATACCGTGAAGGTTTCGAAGGAAATGTGCCTGTCAATGCTGTTCAATTTGAAAAAGTATACGAGGAGTCTGCTCTGTTTGCCAAGATGATGCAAGAACGTGATGAATATGAACAAAAGATCAATCAAGATCGTCCTGCCGAGACTTTTAGAGAAGCATTCAATGATGCTCATCAAAAGCATGCTCCCAAACATTCTCCCTTTGTCGCAACGTATCTGGAGCAAGTCAAGGCTCTTACTGTTCGTCAATTCCAATTGATTCTTGGTGATAAGGGTGCACTTGTCTCTCGTTATGGTGGTGTTGTTGTCAAGGGTCTAATCATGGCTTCTGTCTTTTTCATGATGCCTCAAGATGCCAGTGGTGCTGTAAGTAGATCTATCTTGTTGAATAGCATGTGCGTATACTAATAACTTTGTTAGTTCTCTCGTGGAGGTGCCTTCCTGTTTTCTCTCTTGTTCAATGCCCTGATTGCTCAGTCAGAGCTCAGTGCGTTCATGCAAGGAAGACGGGTACTAGAAAAACACAAACATTTCGCTTTATATCATCCCTCTGCCTTTTACATTGCTACTGTTATTTCTGATGTCCCTCTGGCGTTGATTCAAGTCATTATCTTTGAGATTTGTGTGTACTTTATGATGGGTCTTCAATTGGAAGCTGGCAGAGTAAGCATACACAACTGATGTCTATCAGCCGATACTAACTTTCATCTAGTTCTTCACATTCTTTATTGTGCTCGTCATGACCAATCTTTGTATGAACGGCTTCTTCCGTTTCTGGGGTGCTGTTTCTCCCAATTTCTTCACTGCCTCTCAACTGTCCAGTATTCTTTTGATTGCTGCTTTGATTTACTGTGGTTATCAGATCCCCTACACGCAAATGCACCCTTGGCTCTTTTGGATCTACTGGATCAATCCGCTAGCGTACGGCTACAAGGCTTTGATTTCTGATGAAATGAGAAACTTACAGTTTTCTTGCAAAGGTGCCAACTCGGTTCCTTACGGTCCTACATACACAGATCAAGAATACAAGACTTGTATTCTCCCTGGTGCTGCACCTGGTGCCTCATACATCTTGGGTGATGATTATCTGGCTGTCAACTATGGCTACTATGTCTGGCAACGTTGGATCAACTTTGTAGCTGTTGTGCTCTTCTTCTTTTTCTTTACCATTCTCACTGCCCTGGCTATGGAGTATGTGGATTTGCAAAAGGAGGGTTCCATCACCAAGGTCTACAAGAAGGGTTGTGCTCCTGAAACTGATTCGGACGAGAAACTGATGCAACAAGTAACCACCGTCAATGATCAAGAGATGGAAGCTGTTACTGATGGTACTACATTCTCATGGCACCACATTGACTACACTGTACCTGTCAAGGGAGGCACTCGGCAACTGTTAAACGGCGTTGGTGGTATAGTCAAGCCGGGGCATCTCTGCGCCTTGATGGGTTCCTCTGGTGCTGGTAAAACTACTCTGCTTGATGTGCTGGCCAAGCGTAAGACCATTGGTAAGATTGAAGGTCGCATCTACCTGAACGGTGAACCCCTCGGTCCTGACTTTGAACGTACTACTGGTTACTGTGAACAAATGGATGTCCACAATCCCAATGCCACTGTACGTGAAGCCCTTCGATTCTCTGCTTATCTGCGACAACCTCAAAAAGTACCCAAGGAAGAAAAGGATGACTATGTAGAGCAAATCATTGTGCTCATGGAAATGCAAAAGATTGCCGATGCCTTGATTGGTGATCTCGAAGCTGGTATCGGTATCTCTGTAGAAGAGCGTAAACGTCTGACGATTGCCACTGAATTGGTCGGTAAGCCCAAACTGCTCTTCTTGGATGAACCCACTTCCGGTTTGGATGCCCAATCCTCTTACAACATTGTTCGTTTCATTCGTAAGCTTGCTGATGCTGGTTGGCCCGTGCTTTGTACTATTCATCAACCTTCTGCTACTCTGTTTGAACATTTTGACCACTTGCTGTTGTTGATGAGAGGTGGCCGTACTGCTTACTTTGGTGAGATTGGTAAAGATTCTCGCACCATGATCGACTATTTTGAGTCGAATGGTGGTCCCAAGTGTTCTCCTCAAGCTAATCCTGCCGAGTACATTCTGGAATGTGTGGGTGCTGGTACAGCTGGCAAGTCTACCCAGGACTGGGCTGATGTCTGGGCTGGGTCTCCTGAGGCCGAGGCTCTTGAACAAGAGCTAGAGGATATCCACTCTACTGTAGATCATACTGCCTCTCGCAAGGTGACCACCTACGCGCTTCCCTTCTGGGAGCAGCTAAAGCTTGTCTACCTGCGTATGAATGTCTCTTGGTGGCGCTGTCCTACTTACAACATGGGTAGATTGTTTAATGTGTGTTTCATTGGTCTTATCTCTGGTTTCTCGTTCTGGAAGCTGGGCTCAACGCCTGCTGACATGCAGAACCGTATGTTCTCTGTGTTTACTACCTTGTTAATGTCCAACGCCTTGATTATCTTGGCACAACCTCGCTTCATGCAAGAAAGAATGTGGTTTAGACGTGAGTATGCCTCTAAATACTACGGCTGGGCACCATTTGCTTTGTCTTGTGTGCTAGTAGAGATTCCATACCTGATTGTGCTTGGTACCATCTTCTTGTTTTGCTTCTACTGGACTGCCGGCTTACAAAACGAATCTGATCGTATTGGCTTTTTTTACATTCATTTCATCATGTTCCTGTTCTATTCAGTCTCTCTTGGCTTCACAATTGCTTCCTTCTCGGCGACACCTCCGATGGCAGCTGTCATTAATCCATTCTTTACGTCTATTCTGATTCTGTTTGCTGGTATCATGCAGCCACCAAGTGCAATGCCTCGTTTCTGGAGCGCGTGGATGTACTGGCTCGATCCGTATCACTATCTAATTGAGGGTCTGGTAGTCAACGTCATGGAAGGTGTAGAAGTTGTATGCGGAGAAGGTGATTACCTCATTGTGAACGCACCACCTGGCCAAACGTGTGGCGAGTACATGCAAGAGTTCTTCAATAACGGTGGACCTGGCTATTTGGGCAATCCTGGTGCTACTGGTTCTTGTAATTATTGTCAATACAAGACAGGTAATGACTTTTACGAAGAGAGAATTGGCTGGAATTTCAGCAACAGGTGGCGTAACTTTGGTATTCTCTGTGCTTACACTATCTTTAATGTCATGCTCTTTATGTTCTTTGTCTTTTTGTTCAGAAAGCAAAAGCGTTGAGATGTTGCATTTCTTTCTGCATTTACATTTATATCCCCCTTCTACTCATCTCCATCATTTTATAGCATATTAATTCTCTACATATACACGCATAGATCACCACTAAAAATCTATCCTTCTTATATCAACAATGACATTGAATAAGAATCCTGATCTGATCTTGATGCATTTAATAAAAAGCCATTCAACAAGACTTTCTTCTTCTTCTCTTCTCCTTTGCCATTGTTTCTCATTACACTTCTGACGAAAAGATCAGAGGCAAACCCCAAGCAATCGTGCCAAAACAATGAAATCATTCTGGTGGGCATTTCGTTCAGGTACCACTCGAGCACTAGAGTAGAGTAGTCTTCAGGGGCAGAGCTAAACCTGATGAATCAGACCTTGGGATTCAAACTACAGTCAGCGGCAAGGCCCTAATAATAAGGCTATTGCAGATTGCTACATCCCGTCAATTTGTAGGACAATCAAGCATGATGGGACTCTCTGTCTGCCATCACATATGCCACTCAGTTAATCCTCACAGAAAGTAAATGTCTGCACTCGCTCTTGGTTTTGGTGCTTCTGCTTGCCGGGTCTCTTTTGGTTCTAATGCCCTACATTAGAAAAATATACAGTTCAATAGAAATCAGGTTCTTTCAGCCTGTTGTGTCTCCAGGATTCCATGAGATACCAGAAACTACTCTACCCCCCCCTCCCCAAAGTCTCTTTTGCGAGATACCAGAAACCGGGTACTCCTCTCTAAGCCCTTCAGAAAGGGTAATTTCAGGATTGCTCTAACCTTCTCTCAAAAAGATGCCTCAAGTATCAATGTCAACAGACTGATTGCATACGTGTTAAATGTCATTTCCATCATCACACAGCAAGACATTGCCTCGAAAAAGCTCTGGGTCACTTAATCCCCAGATTAGAGAATAACATTGGTGAGGTGTACACTGGACAGAACGACGCTGTAGGATTGTCGAGTGATCTTTTTCAATAAATAATTATAAAATCTGATCTTTTTATTATCGAAAAAAGAGAGATTGGTTGTATAGTTTTGATTGTTGTAATATAAATATTTAGTGATCACCACCTTCGGCAGCATGACCAGCCTTGGAAGAAAGATAAGTGTGTCTCTTCACTGCTGAGGTGTAGATAAAGTAACCGAGACCGAATGCAACACCAACGTAAGGGATTTGAGAGGTGACACGGCGAGCAGTGTTGAAGACGGCGTTGTGAGCAGCACCGGCAAAGGCCTTTTGCTCAAAGGGAGATAAAATGTAAGTGACAACACCCTATAATCATCATATTAGTAAACCAAATGTCCAGTTGTTGCAATTGTCGTATAGCAGTCTATCACATACTCTTTGAGTAGGTCCACCCATATGACCCCACCTGAATGATCCATGTTAATTTATTGCAAATTTCTCTTCCAAATGTTGATTTTATCGAGATCCCACTTACCATCCCATGTATGATTTTCCTTTAGCTCCACCCATTTTTAATGTAATTATCTATGAAGTATCGTGCTGCTTTAGTTTACAGTTTCGAAGATGGATTGTAAGTATACATGTTGAACATACCGTTTGGTTTATCGAAGAAAAAGTGCAAGAAGTGTCCAAATCTCCCTTACCTTGTTATCCTTGATCGGGAGACGAAAGAATTCTCATTCAAGTCTGGGGCAGTTGTATATCGTGACGCAACTATCTGATATTTAATGGATTTGAGCAAAGCAGCAGGTTGTCATTGGTCTTTTTCAAGTATAGATGCATTGGTGGAATCAGAAGTGGCATCATTGGGGCACTTCGGCTCAATAGATCTCGAAAATTCCGTAAATGCGAGCCCTATTTTGAGTGAGTCAATCCCTAGATTTGAGATCCATGTGTATGAAATGGCGAGGTGGAATTGCAATGAACCATATCATCACATTCGTCGTAGACCTTTCTTGATCCAGCAACTCTCCTTCAACAAGCAATCTGGCTCTCCAGAATTTGACTGTTCTGATTGCAGCGCAATAATGCTCTACTAGAAGGAAATCTCTTTAGAGACCTGATTGCTATATAGCATCCAACATCTAGAAGTTAGTTTCAATTAAACAGATCATTGAATTGCTCATTGACACGGACTTTTAATGAAAGTCAAAATTTTATAACAGGATGGTTGCGTGGTTGTTTCCATTTTTCACCATCATCTTATTTTTTACTGTTGAAAAAGAATCATACTATCAAACATGGACTCTGACGATGACCTTGATTGCCCTCTCTGTATGGAAGAGTTGGATATTGCCGACAGAAACTTCAGACCTTGTCCTTGTGGATACCAGGTGAGTAGATGGCTCCAAGCTTCAACTGTCAAAAGCAATGAAAACGCTAAAGATTTCAACGTTTAGATCTGTCGGTTTTGCTGGCATCATATCAAGGAAAACTTGAATGGTCGTTGTCCCGCTTGGTAAGTGTTTAAGCTACTTGTGAACTAGAAATGTTGGAAATTAACGTTGAAATGTGCCATAGTCGTCGAGAATATTCTGAAGAAATGGTAGAATTTCAACCAGTGAGCGCAGACGAGTAAGGATATAGAATCAACTGTAAATCAGCGAGTACTGACACAACTGGAATATCCATCAGATTGCAACGTATCAGAAAAGAAAAGAGAGAAAAAGAAAAGCAGCAAAAGGACATGGAATCTGCTAATAGACGGCATTTGTCTAGTATGCGTGTTGTTCAAAAGAATTTGGTATATATTATTGGTCTTCACCCTCGCTTAGCAACAGAAGAGGTAAAAGGAGCACTTTTGATCAGAAACTAAATGATTGCATATTAACCCGGGGAATCATGTAGATTGTTAGATCCAACGACTACTTTGGTCAGTTTGGTAAAATCTCCAAAATTGTTATTAATAAGAAACCAGCACTTCCTGCATCGCAAATGACCTCTCTACCAAGTGCAGCGGTCTATGTCACTTATTACAGAAAAGAGGATGCCGCCAAAGCAATTGCAGCTGTTGATGGTAGCGTTATTGCTGATAGAGTAGTCAGGTAAATAGTTGGAATTCGATGGTTCTTGAGAGGATATAGGCTAAAAACTTGGATTTTTAGAGCATCCTATGGTACCACAAAATACTGTACCTATTATTTACGTAACATGACATGCCCAAATCCAAATTGTTTGTATTTGCACGAACAAGGCGAGGATATGGATACAATTTCAAAGGAGGAATTGGCTACTGGGTGAGCATCAAGATGAGATGGACGACATACTACATGAAATGTCTAATTGATCTTTTGTAGCAAACACCATATGCGAGACATGTTGACCGAAGATGGCGACGATGAGCATGGCGATCGTCACAGATATGAGGGATCCAGCTCACATCATAATCACCATCACCCACAACATTCAACGCCTCAACAGCAGCGTCCTCAACTCTCCAGCGATGATTTCCCGGCTGTATCCAGCAGTTCAAAGACCAGCAACAAGGTTACAGACGACTCAGCATTGCCAGCCTCAGCTTCATGGGCCAAGGTGGGTGTTAGCAGTACACCCTCTACACCTGTTCTTAGTGTCTCAGATGCATTCGGGCCCACACTATCAGCAGCAGTTGCAGCCTCTCAACAAAAGACACAATTCCCTCCTATGCCCAAACGTAAGAGTGAAAAGAAAAAGCGAAAGGAGCAATTGCAACAACAAAAGACCACAACTGAAGCTTCCACCTCACAACCTGCTACACCCAAATCGGTTGCTGCTACAATTACTTCGCCTTCCATATCTTCTTCTGTCAATGGTAAATCTGTCACTGAAGAATCACAACAAGATGAGTCTGTGGCATCCTCCTCCTCGCCATCCTCTTCAAGTGGACCCTCTCAACAGCAACAATCAGCAGAGCACGACAGCGTTGCGGCATCAGCTACTACACAACCTTCTCTATTCGACCTGGGGCTAACAGGCTTTGTTCTCGGTCAAGCTTACAAGGATTTATGTCCATTACCAACAGAGGCAGAATTTGAAAGCAAACAAAGACAGGACGATCAAGCAGCTGAAGAGCTTACATTGGGTGTATCAGCATTGTTACTGGGTGATGATGCTAAGGCTGAACCTTCTCCAGCGCAACGAAACTTGGAAGCTATTCAATCAGCATCTACTTCAAAACTCATTCCTTCTACCATTCCATCTGTGCTCGACTTTCTCACATACTCTACCCCTACACCAAAGTACACTAGCATGTTCAATCCCTTTGCTCATATGAGTATGTTGGGTGGCCAACCACAACAGCAGCAACAACCAAACAATGGTGGTAATGGTGCTGCTGCTGCTGCCGCTGTTCTGAACAACAACTTGGATTCTCCCATTAGAAGACACTCCAGATTTGGATTTGCTCAAGCATAAAACGTATGTTATACTCGTTAAGAAAACAATTAATAACAATAATAAAAAAAAATGTATAAATATAATACTATGATAGCATCAGATGATGCTATACTGGCAATACCTAGAGAACTCAGATATCATTCATCATAAACAGAATGCAATGCGCTTTTTGGGATATGCATCCCTTCAAAAATGATCTGAGCCAGGGTTAGCTGCCAAAATTGTAATTGATCTCTAAGGGTCTACTACTAGTACTTCTTGCGTTAGAAATATATCTTTGATTTTGGTGAGTCCAAATTTAGTGAAGATTGTGTAAAAATGCGCGTTAAGATAACCGTTGAATTGATGGTATCCAATTACAAAATCTCGCAAATTTACTCATTGCCGTAGTCGGCTACTTACTGCGACAGTCGTCTTGACAGAAATTACATAATGGCACTCATTTTTTGGGATTTGATTCAATGTGTACTTAAGAACAACGATCATCTTTTAATTTCATTTCCAATAATCAAAATAAATACCCATCTGTTGATGAGTATGTCTTGTCAAATACCGATTCTACAGAAACATTAGATAGTATACAGAACACTAAATCAAAGGAATATGCTACTGTCACTATCAGCAAGTCGCCACCAGCGTCCGAAATGTGTACATATCTCGAAGAGGTAACAGTGACAATGGATACCGCCATAGGATATCATTTGATCGTGAATCTGCGTTATTTGTATACAGCGGTACATGTCGATTGCCAATATCAGACGAAAGGATGGCTCATCAGCATATATCACACTCTAGTTAGCTTCAAAGGGCATATAATCAGAGATTAAAAGCTCCTCTCTTAAAAACATAACGCATCTAATTCGAGTGATTTTTTGCCTGCTATTTGGCTGTAGATTGAGTGATTTGTGGTTTCAAGGCACCATTTGGTTACATTGACCTTAAGAGGGTTATACCGTAACGAAGCAAACGTGCAAAACCACAGTAATCAAGCAGTAAATTTGACTTCTCATTTTCACTATAAATAAATTTACCAACAACATAACGTGTCAAAATTTGCATGAATTAGCTTTACCAAAAGCAATACGCCTCCTACTCGAATTAGAAGTTGCACAGGCTGCAGAACTGCCTTCCAGAAGGTTTCAGCTGCCAAAGATGTGATTCATGCCGAGTAAATAAAAGCTATACAGCAAAAACATAACCAAATTCGACAGTTTTCAAGCCTTCATATCTTGACATGTAGACCTCTCTGAGCCACCGGAATGATGCCAAACAATTGTACTCGAGTAGCAGTAACTTCCAGGCACCTTTGCTCAACTTTTTGAGGACCCAAAAAACATGGCCAAAGATCGACCAAAAAGCATGAGGGTTACCTCATGGTTTTCTTGGAAAATCAAACGATCGCGTTTTTCACCTTGAAAATGAAGACTTTTATTATGGTATATAATAAACCAAAATATTTCTCTCGATCCAAAGCAGCCTCTGAAACCACTGTTATGAGGTTTTCTTATGCAAAATATGGCTATTTTCGCTGAAAACCTCATTTCATATTTTATCAAATTGCTCAGTACTTTTAGTCAAAACATCTATTACAACTAGCACCATTGGAAGCGCCTTGAAAAGTACTCTAAGAATGTATTAGGAAGCGTAGGGTGATCATCACAGTTTATATAGTCGAATATTACAAAATACTTTAAAGAAATCGAAAAAGGGCAAACTCTGTCCAATCTTGAACAGAAAAAAATAGACTGAGTTTGAATAAATTTTGGCGGTAGCGCTGCTGCTAGTTGGTCCAAATGCCTTTCTGATGATAACAATGATGATGGCAATGATGATGGCAATGACGATAACAATGATGATGGCAATGATGATTGCGATGCTGGTCAAATGGGGATCATGGAAGTAAAACGAACATCACTTAGTCTGAATACTTTATTTTGCTCTTTTTAGGCATTTTTTATACCTTAAAACGCCAGTCTATTTGACTCACTATTAAAATATAGGGTCGCAACTTCCTAATCATGATTTGCAAAATTTCCACATGACATTTAGGCAGCATGCGCTTTGTTGGTTCATTTGAAAGAGACTATTGGCGCTGGCTGAGAAGCTACTTTGGTATGTGATAAGGATATCTTTGAAACTTGTATGTAAATACTAGTTGGGAATGATGGCTGCAATCTTGTTGTCAGTTGGCAGAATCTGAATGCGCCTATTTTCACCAACAATTAGCTCCAATCTCGCTTGAAGGTTAGGTCGAATGCGAGCACCCTCGCTAATATGATTCAGACTCGTTGTTCTTCTTCTTCACTCAGGATCTCATGAGCATGCTTGTAACTGCGAATAAAGGTGTTTTGAGCCTTGTCCGGTACTCAATTTTTGTAATTTTATACGTTTTTTTCATAGTTTTTAAGTATATTTATAGCCGATCAATCTCGCTACGCTCGGTGACGGCGTTGCCCTGCAGGCTCTCGCCGAACACATTCCAAATCAGGGATAATAAAAATCTGGCATATCAAGTAGATTTTAAACAATCAATTAATAATAAAAAGAGAGGCCATATCAGAGTCGAGAAGGGAAGGTATCTATTCGCTGGCGTCGCTCTCGAGATAGCGACATAAAGTTGACCATAAGTAAATACAGGACTTGTGTAAGATCTACAGCGACTTTTTTGAGATATGGTCATTGTAAAGGACATCTTTATAAGGAAAAACTCTCAAAAAAAGCATTCAGACTAAGTGATGTTCGTTTTACTTCCATGATCCCCATTTGACCAGCATCGCAATCATCATTGCCATCATCATTGTTATCATCAGAAAGGCATTTGGACCAACTAGCAGCAGCGCTACCGCCAAAATTTATTCAAACTCAGTCTATTTTTTTCTGTTCAAGATTGGACAGTGTTTGCCCTTTTTCGATTTCTTCATGGCTCTTCCCGATAAACAAACATTGCCTAAAGGACGAGATCCTAAAGGTGGAAAAGCCACGGATTCTCGCCACAACGCCACCAAACAAAAGGATCCTATGCGGTCATATGCGCAAATCCTGAAGTCGGATCAAACCAGGGACACATTTGATCTGACATCTCGCAACTCTGACGAGCTGGGCCAGCTCACCGAGGGGGGACAACTATTCCTCCACGCCAGGGACAAGAACTCTGTGATCATCTCGACTGAGCAATTCCTTGCATTGCAGGTTAATTTCAAGGATCTTGCGGTAGTACTTCGTAATCAGTTCCCGGATGCCTTGGGTCTTCGCATCCGTAACGTCAGTCAAACCACCAAGTACTTTGAAATCAATTTTCGCACTGCTGAAGCCAGGGAGGCCGCCCTGAAGAAAGAGTTTACCTATGAAGGAAAGCAAGTCATTGTCAGCCGTACCTATCCTAAGGACGCTACCATTGTTCGGGTTAGTGTAAGCAATCTACCTTATGAAGACGAGGAGACGCTGAAGGATGCAATGTCAACAATTTTTGGTAAATATGGAGAAATCTTGGAGATGGGTCTGCTCCATACTGTGCATGGGCACTTCTTTACTGGTAGAGGTTTCGTCACTTTGAATCTCATTCCTGGTAAAGAGTATGCACCTCTGGTACCTCAAATTAACTCTTGGGAATCTGGTGAAACTCTCAAGATTACCTACACTGGTATGAAGCCTACCTGTAGTCGTTGTCATGTCACTGATCATGTCTTTGGCAACTGTCCTGTCATGAGTCAACGAGTGAAGCACTGTCATATCTGCAGTAGCCCTAATCACTTACAAGCCACATGTCCGGGCGCATGGTGGAATCAACGCAAGAAGGCTGCCAAGTTGAACACAACACACACATCACCACATCAGTCGAAGGCTACTGACAAGGAGGCAGCGCCTGCAGTACCTACACCTGCTAAGGCAGATGTGAGTACTTCTGACAAGTCGAAGGTTACTAAACCCTTCATTACAGATATCATCCCAGCATCTTCTCAAGGATCAACCATCAACAATTCCAATACCACGGAATCCTCTTCCACTGTTGAAGAGACAGCACCCATTCCATCTAGTGATGAGGATGGAAAGGACGTCGCTGACACTGGGGAGGAGCTCACCAAGGCGGTTGAAGCGGGTGATTCTGAACAAGAGAGTTCAACGGTTATTCAGGAGCAACAGGGCGACACTCCGGAAGATGATCTTAATGATGAGATGGATGGTGACGACGACGTCGATGATAGCGATATCAACATGGAGGAAGCGGCCAAGGAGGCGGCAAGCAGCTCTATACCTCTGGATGAGGTTCTCCAGAAGATGAGGCGCCAGCTCAGGCTTCAACGTCGCAAGGCCAAGCAATTGCACAAGGACAACAAGGACAAGGCATCACGCCCTCGTCACGGTGGAACGGCTTCGAAGAAGAAGGCTTCTACCAACCCCTCATCACGTCAATAATTATTATGAGTAATCATAATAATTATAGGAAATCCTTAAATATCAAATTTGGATCTCTGAATTGTCGATATCTACTCAAAGTCAACAATCCTCAATCCTCAGATTCCTTCATTCGATACTTAAGGGGGCAAGATTTAGATGTTTTTGCTTGCCAGGAAACCAACATACCCCCTCTCAACTTTGACGACAGGATTGCAATGCTCGACCTGAAATTTCAATCCGTTCAAAGTATTTGGACATCGAAATGCGGCATCTTCAACTTCAATAGAAATATTCACATGGAGAAGATACACATTTCTGATGATGATAGAATTATATTTGCAAAATTGACGATACCCGCGGAACCAGACCTGTTGCCCATCTATGTGCTCAACATCTATGCGCCTGCGGATTCATCTCAGAACAGAGCCATTTTCTACAACAGCCTTATGAACTACATCAAGTCTCTTGATTCATACGGTGACATATTGGAGCGTTTGATTTTGGCGGGCGATTTCAACTTTCAATACGACCTTCGTTTGCCCAACAACGCACCCACCAAACGACCAGCAGCATTTGTCTTGTTTACGGATACCTTCCTTCATGATTGTAACAACAACTACAGTGACTCCCTCTTTGAAACTCTTCCAACCTTTCGACGGGGCAAGGTCATTAAAACGCTTGACTACATCATGGTAGGCCGCCAGCTGAAGGAACTCTACTTTGACAATAACGTTGAGCACGTCTCTTCGGTGTGGACTGACCATGCTTTATTGACCATCAAGCTGCGTCTTCAACTCAACAACACGGGCAAAGGGTTATGGCGGGCCAACCCCAACCTGGTGCACTACAAGTCCTATGTGAAGAAGATCCACTCTGGTATCAGCCACTTCATGCAGACCATCCTTGCTAACTCCTCAGATAGCAATCAGATCAAATGGGACCGTTTGAAGGGCTACATCCGAAAATTGACTAAAGCTTACTGCAGTAACCGTGCCTCCTGGAGGAAACAGCGTCTCAAGGATCTCCAAAGCTCTCGGAATCAGCTTATCCGTCGGTTAAAAGGTGATCAGGAAGCATTGCAGCAGGAACTCCCCAAGGTTGAGAAACCTATTGCTCAGTTGGAACATGAAATTGCCCTCAATGCTACTCTCAAAGCGGGTAGACTTTGGCTAGACAACAACGAACACTCGATCGGCTTCTTGAAGAAGACGGGTGAAAGGCGTCTTGCTCAACGGACAATGGACACTATCACTCACCCAACGACAGAAGTTCCCTGTACTACCACTGCGGATAAGCTGGAGGTGGTTCATGCTTACTATGATGTGCTGTACTCTCCCGAGCCAACTCATCGTTACTCTATGGACAAGTTGCTCAGAGGTATCCAGAATACAATTTCCGTGGACGATGCTGAATTCATTATCTCATCTATTGACATGGATGATATTCTGAAATCTGCTACCCGTTGCCCCAAGGTCAGTAGCCCAGGCAGAGATGGACTCCCTTATCCCATTCTTCGTCTGATATTGGCTCACCCTGACTGCAAGGATCTCGTGCTTGCTGTATACAACGACGCTCTCAATCTCGGTGTGTTCCCACCCTCTTGGCAGGAAACGTGTATAGTGCTCTTACCTAAGAAGGGTGATCTGTGGAACTTGGCAAACTGGCGTCCGATTTCACTTATCAACACTGATTGCAAGGTATTCACTAGGATCTTGAACTCAAGGGTCATTGGAGCGGCCAACAAGGTCATCACTGGACATCAAGCAGGCTTCATGCCTACACGATTTATTGGTGATCACGGTCTTGCTCTGCGACTCCTCATGGAGGACGCCCAATTACATTCTAATCGTGCTGTTGGTGTTGCAATTGACAGTGCCAAGGCTTACGATTATGTAAACGAACAGTATATTTGCAAGGTGCTCCAGAAGTTTGGTTTCCCCTCTACATTCATTACCAGTGTTCGTAATCTGTTCTTTAAGACCAAGATTGCGATCAATGTGAATGGGTTTATGACGGATCCAGTGTCTCAAAAGCGTGGGCTTCGCCAGGGCGACTCCATCTCCCCTGTGCTTTTTAACTTTGCTCTGGAACCTCTTCTGCTGGCTATTCTAAACGATGAGAAAATCAAGGGATACTCTATCCACACTGCTGCTGTCAAGTCGTCTTCTCTGCAATTGGTGGCGCCCGCTCCTGTCAAATTGCTGGCTTATGCCGATGATCTGCTGGTACTCGTCAATAATTGTGCAGAAATGCAGGCCATTCAAGACCACATCTCATGCTATGGTCGAGCGTCTAATGCCCGGGTCAACTATCACAAGTCCATCGCCTTCCCTTTGGCTGGAGATAGGTCCCGCGTGCGTCCTGACTTGTTTCGCCTCTCTAGTCGGCTCCAGTTTCAATGGTACGACTCGGATAGTCCATCTTACATTAAGTACCTTGGATATCCTATATGGTTCAGCAAAGCCCAGCGAGATGACTTCTGTAAAGGAACTATTCTCAAGCTTCAAGCCTCCCTGGATAGACATCGTACAAGAAGCATTTCTGTCTACGGTCGTGCAAACATGGTAAATTCGTTGTTCCTAGCTCGCTTTTGGCACATGCTGCGTGTCACTACCCTGCCCACCGCTTTTGAGCGAAAGATCTCTTCCTTGGTGTACCAATTTGTCTGTCATAAGATTGTACCCACCATGAAGAAATCCGTCATATACCTGCCAAAGCATGTCGGTGGTCTAGGCGTCATTGATATTAAGGTGCAACAGCACATCTTGCAACAACGCTATGTTCGCGCTTTGCTTTTGGATAATCAGGTCTCTCGCCCCATTCCTGCTTTCCTCATGCAACTGCTATGCGCGTTCATACAGGTCACCTACGGGGCTGCCCACCCTCAACTGCCATTGCTGTTCCGTAACCTGCGTTTTGGAACCTCATTGCCTCACCAACACTGCTTGCTGCCAATCCTCCGCTCGGTGGATGCCTTTGCTGTTGAAGCGTCTTGGTCTGATTGTGGTTTGTCGGTGGATACGTTGTTACAGTTGCCTATGACAGTGCTCTTTGATCCGGCAACTACCGATCCCAGTCTTCTGTATCACAAACAGTTCCGTCAATTGCCTGCCCGTGTCTTCCTCGAACAAAGTCGTCTCCCTGAGGCCTTGGTGTTCAAAGCAAGAGCTGCCTGCTCCAGCCCCGGCCTTCTCTCTAGAATGGTCGCGGCCGTACGCTCCAACACCATCCACTTTGTGTCTTCCCTTTGCCCCATTCTTCTTGCCAATCCTGCTGGTCCTGAGCCATTACTTGTCACCGGTGGAGGTGTTGATCTGTCGCCCTACTATTGTCACAAGCTCTCCTACCAAGGTATTACGATTCTGTCCATGTCTAATACCGAGCTTCGTGCAATGTACATGCGCGATCACCCTCCAATAACCAACCCTCGGGTAGATGTAAACCGACTCACCGTGGCCTCTTTTCTTCAAACGAAAATGCCCAGTGCAGCTCGTAATCTTTGGTTCCGGTTGATTCATAATAAGGTCTCTTCCAAAGTCAATGTGTACAAGATCTTCAAGCTGCCAGATGATCTTTGCGTGTATTGTGGCTACCGTGAGACTACCACTCACATGCTCTTTACTTGCCCTGCCAATTGGGACATTTGGATAAATTACTTTGCCCTGCTTTTTGTGCCTCTTGGGCCACTTGATATGAGCCAAGTTGCTACGGATGTCCTCTCCCTGGACCTCTCCTCGTACTGCCTCTTGGATTCATCCCTCAAGGTGTCCACGTTTGAAGCCGTAACCTGTGTTATCACAGCTATTTGGCGCGCCAAATGGCGTGATCATTATGATAGCGTTGGTTTTGACAATCAGTCCGTAATGGACCGTGCCATGACCAACTTGCGTAGAATATCCTCTCTTAACTTGTTAAGCTAATTTTGTTTTCTTTGCCTTTCAGGACAGGTCACTTTACATTACACCTGCTCCCCTTTTATATTTTATCCAAATATCTTTTATGAGTTTATCTTAACCAATAAATCTTCATACTTACAAATAAAAAAAAAAAAAAAAAAAAAATTCGATTTCTTTAAAGTATTTTGTAATATTCGACTATATAAACTGTGATGATCACCCTACGCTTCCTAATACATTCTTAGAGTACTTTTCAAGGCGCTTCCAATGGTGCTAGTTGTAATAGATGTTTTGACTAAAAGTACTGAGCAATTTGATAAAATATGAAATGAGGTTTTCAGCGAAAATAGCCATATTTTGCATAAGAAAACCTCATAACAGTGGTTTCAGAGGCTGCTTTGGATCGAGAGAAATATTTTGGTTTATTATATACCATAATAAAAGTCTTCATTTTCAAGGTGAAAAACGCGATCGTTTGATTTTCCAAGAAAACCATGAGGTACCCCTCATGCTTTTTGGTCGATTTTTGGCCATGTTTTTTGGGTCCTCAAAAAGTTGAGCAAAGGTGCCTGGAAGTTACTGCTACTCGAGTACAATTGTTTGGCATCATTCCGGTGGCTCAGAGAGGTCTACATGTCAAGATATGAAGGCTTGAAAACTGTCGAATTTGGCTGTGGTTTATACATTTGCTCGTATATAGTACGTAGACGCTGTAAAATATTTATTTTTGTTGGCTTCTAAATAGACATGGTATAACAGTAGAATTTAGTTCTCCACAGCAACAGGTCTTCGATGCCATTGCTTCTCTTGCTCGTCGTAGTAATACCATTTATCTGCTGTAATCTTATGGCTTCGTAAATAGCCTAATAGTTCATTTACACCATAAATCTCATCTTGCAACAACTGGTCTTGCTTGACATCAGAGACAATGTTTCGTTTTGTAGCTGTTGGAATGTCTACTTGAGGTATCTTGGTTTCTAAGGCAGGAGCCAAGAACAATGGAATTGAATAGCGATCAGTAAAATTGGCAGATGGTTTGTTGATTACTCGATGCGTTGTTGCAACAAATGTTTGCTTGGTCAATCGCTCAAAGATCTCTCCAATGTTGACAATGAATGTATCAGGGATGGGTTCAGCGTCCTATAAATTGCGTTGGTCAAATTCTCATATATTAGTATCAATACAGATACACTCATTTACCACCCATCTTCCGTCTTGTGTTTGCACTTGTAAGCCTCCTATGTCATCTTGCAACAAGAGAGCCAAGAACCCAGTATCTTTATGAGGTCCTACGCCTAAACCATGCTCAAGAGGCTTGTCCACAGGATCATTGAGAGCAGGATATCGAAGCAACTTGCATCTGACGCCATAGTCCTCGCCAAACAATGCCATAAACTCGTCTTGATCAAACTTAAGCACCTGAGCCATAGCTCTGATGATAGTCAGGCCTACCTGAGTCATGGATTCCATCAACTCGGTAACAGTTTCCTTAAATCCCGGGATTTGCTCTGGCCATTGGTTGGGGCCTCTCAAATGAGCATAAACTGGGTGACCCTCGATGGGTAGAATTGGGTATTCTCTACCTAAATCAAGCTGCTCACGATTGTCTTGCTTGTAGTCTGTCGTTTCTGCATCTAGAAATGTGTCTATTTAGCAACCCTGTAGGCAGTGATCAGCAATTGGCTCTTACTCAAGCAAGAATACCCTCTGAAATGAGGAGAGTTCTTTAGTTCTACTTTTAGTTTCTCCTCGATGGGCAATTTAAAGAATGATTTGATGGTCTCAAACGACTTTTGCTGCAATTTCAATGGGATGCCATGATTCTTGATGTAAAAGAAGCCGACTTCACTCATCGCCTGGTACAAGCTATCCAAGAACTCTTTGGATGAGGCAGATGTTGAGTCATCTGGCTGATATTTTGAGTAATCAAGAACTGGAATAATATCTACTGTAGTCATTTGAAGAGGAAGAAGAATGGAGATAAAGAAAAGAAGCAAGTACAATCCTTGATCATAGCGAGATGCAATTTCAAAAGAATCTCACGCAATCCTAGATCATGCGAAATCATTGGGTTACTCGAATATTTAAGGTTGTTTTGACTCTATGAGTGTTATTTTATTTGAGTAAAATAATAGAGAGCGAAACAAAGAGAGATGAGTTCCCATTGCGTGAGGACATTTAACGGTACTAGTTTAAGAAAAAAAAAATTTCAGCATGTCTCTCCTATTGCACGCTAAAATCACACAAAAGCAAGCTTACCTTGTGGAAACCAATATCGTTGGCGTATTCACGGAAACATTGACGACAAACGTTGAGGTTGTACTTGCGGATCAAACCAGCACGGTGAGCGCAAACACGACTACAAACAAAAAAATTTTAGTGGATGTATAAAAATTTTTTCTTTTGCTGTACGGTAATGGATCGCCTGTGCATTTCTCCCAAATGTGTCAACCCGATAATACAAGTCGACTAGCCATGTGCTATACTATATCCATCAACGAGGTGCAGTGTCATTGTAGATCCATCTTCACGTCCTTTTTCATCACACTTGAAAATCAACATTTTTTGGGTGGCTTATGAAGGTTCAACATTTGGGAGTTGATAGAAATGACACCATGGGCAAAATCCACTCTTTCACCATACGTTTACGATGACAACTATCAACTTACCATTGACGAGAGCCCTTACCGAAGGACTTGGGGTGGGAGTTCCAAACGTTGCTGTGAGCCATGATGATATTTCTGTTGCGGTTGCGAAAAAAGAGGAGGATTGATCAAATGGACATCCTGAAGGCTGCTTTCTTTCTCAATTTTTTTAGGATTCCGGCAGCAAATTTGTCTGTTGCAAATGTTCAATTACTCCTCTGACGTATGTCGTCTTATAATTGGCCCAAAAATGCAAAAGCTTCACTTAATTAACTTTATACTATCTTGTGTATAAAGAGTTGTTTTTCTCTCCTTTACAAAATTTATACAAGCGGCCATGATCTCGGTCCGTTCTCTCTTGAATGCGCTGTTCGCGTTGAGTTGCGTTGTCAGCTTTGCATGGGCCATCCCCACTCAGTTTGAAAACATCAAAGTCTTGCGTGTCATTGACGTTGACAGTGCCATCGCTCGTGAAGATGTTGGCATTAGAGCCAAGAACATTGATACAAAGGCCGCCAGTGAATATTATTTCCATCTACCTGCTATCCTCGCTCGAAACACTGCTTCCATCTCTGCCTTTTTGAGAAAACAAAAGACTGAGCTCGAGGTCAAATTGGATGAGTATGATGACTTGACGTAAGTTGCAACATTGGGCGCATAAAAATCACTACTAACGCTAGATGTGCAGTGACATGAATGTCTACAAGGTCATCTTAAATGAGCCTGTCAAGCCTCAAGAGGATATCCTTATTGGCCTCAAGATTGCATATATCCACAATGTCAAGCCAATGCCCACCAAGTTACCTCAAGTTGCCCGTCAACATACTGTGTACGCCTTCAATTCATACCTTCTTTCCCCATATTTCACCAAGGAAACCAAAACAACGCTTCAGTAAGTCAATTTACACATGTGATGTACAAGCGTATTTCAGAGCATTGACATTTGTTGGGATGAAATAGAACACCTTCCAAGAACATTGCTAGCCACAAGGGTGCTCAAGGAAAGGTCTCTGTCAACAACAACAAGGTCGTCTATGGTCCTTACTCTGACATTGCTCCCTTCTCATTCGACATTGCTACCTGTCATTTTGAAAATACCAAGCCAATGATTACCATCACAACACTCAAACGTGACATTGAAATTTCCCATTGGGGCAAGAACTTGGCAGTAGAGGAACACTATGCTTTGCGCAACGACGGTGCTCTGTAAGTATTGTGGATATGTGTGTGTGGTTGGCGTGATGGCTCATTTCGTTCCATGTGTAGATTGGATGCTGATTTCAATCGAGTTCAATATCAAGTTACCGGCCATTTGCATGATCAAACTAACGTGCTGAAGGGTCTTTCATTTGACCTGCCTGTTTCTGCCCGTGATCCCTATTTCCGTGACGAAGTTGGAAACGTGTCTACCTCAAACTTTAGAAATGAAAACAAGAAATCAGTGCTGGAGATCAGACCTCGCTACCCTCTCTTTGGCGGATGGAATTATACCTGGTATCACGGCTTCAATGCTGATCTCGGATCTTATGTCCACAAGGCGAAGGGCGGCAAATACATTCTCAATATTAACTTTGTTGAAAATGTCAAAGACATGACTATTGATAAGGCAGTTGTTCGTGTCATTTTGCCCGAGGGATCCACGTAAGTAGCAGTGCATCGGTGAACTGATTTCATTGCTAATGTTTCCGTTTCATTGCAGCAATGTCAAGGTCACTACGCCTTTCAACGTCGACTCTGAATCTGTTACATCTCACTTTACTTATTTCGATTCAACTGGTCGTACTATGGTCATTTTGGAGAAGAGTAATGTTGTCAAGGAGCATGAATTGTCTATTCAGGTACGCCTATCATTGAATGTGAAAAATTGCGAATGTGCCATGCTAACAAATCTGATAGATTGAATATGAGTACTCTAGCTTCCGTCTTTTACAAAAGCCTTTAGTTGTATCTTCTGCTTTGTTTGCCTTATTTTTCGTCAGCATTATTCTCAACAAGATGACATTCAAGATTGGCAAACAAGAGGTAAGTTGCCAATGAAAGAGTCAGTTGACATTTGCATTCTAAAACCTTGATTTCTAGGCAAAATCTCCTCTCAAGAAAGAGTAGAAACCATAAATCATCTAAATATGTGTAACATTTGTAATTCCTTGACATGCTTAATAAACCAATATAAGAAATTCTACTCTATAAACTTGTATATAGGGCAGTGCACAAGATGGATGGGCTAGACAGTCAATAGTCTTCAACTGACATCAATCAGCAATTCCTCTTTTTTCTGACCAAGAATATCTACTACGCTGGTTTTTCTTTTACTCGTGCCTCCTTCCTATACTACTATAACATTATTAGATTACAACTAATAATCTCTCAAGCTACTTTCATACTATTTCAGCATCTGTCACTATGTACATTTGATGTGCATTTACAACCTCTTTCATATCATTTCAAACATCAACTATCCGCACTCGGTGACTGTTTAGACCAAGCACTTTTTTTTTGTATAATTTTTTTAATACGACATCTTTCTCTTTCTGCCCTCTTCTACCAAATTACATAGATATACTTCGACATTATGACAGAAGCTGTTCAAATTGATGTCACCAAGTTGACTCCTTTATCACATGAAGTCATCTCCAAGCAAGCTACCATCAATATTGGTAACTTATCCTCGAACATTTGCCATGAAACATCCGCCTAAACGTAAAAATTTTTCTTCAAATGTTGCAATGTATAGGTACTATTGGTCACGTAGCTCACGGTAAATCCACTGTCGTCAAGGCTATTTCAGGCGTCCAAGTAAATATTAGCATGTAGACTACCTCATTTTGCTGAAATGGAGTGTGGATTGTCAAAAAGAAGTAGCAAGATTAACATGTCGTGTTTTTTATATTAGACTGTTCGTTTCAAGAATGAGATGGAAAGAAATATTACCATCAAGTTGGGTTATGCCAATGCCAAGATCTTCAAGTGTAGCAACCACGAATGTCCCAGACCCGGTTGTTACAAATCATATGGTTCTGCCAAAGAAGATAATCCTATCTGTGAGCGCTCTGGCTGCGGCGGTACCATGGAACTCGTTCGTCATATCAGTTTTGTTGGTAAGGGGCGGAATTTGATTCTTACAAGATGCTTTGCCATGTTGACTGACACACTATTGCTCAATAGATTGTCCTGGTCACGATATTCTTGTAAATATGATAGATGCGATGATTTGGAGTAGGAACAGAGCGTTAATTTTTGCTATAGATGACCACCATGTTGTCTGGTGCAGCTGTCATGGACGCAGCACTTTTGTTGATTGCAGGTAATGAATCTTGTCCTCAACCTCAAACATCCGAACATCTTGCAGCCATCGAAATCATGAAGCTTCAACATGTCATTATTCTCCAAAACAAGGTCGATCTCGTAAAGAAAGAAGCCGCACACGAACAACATGAAGATATTCTCGCATTTGTGAAGGGTACCGTCGCTGATGGTGCTCCTATCGTCCCTATTTCCGCCCAGCTCAAATACAACATCGATGCTGTCAACGAATATATCACCAAGAAGATCCCTGTCCCTGTTCGTGATTTCTCTGCTGTTCCTAGATTAATTGTTATTCGTTCTTTTGATATTAACAAGCCTGGTGCCGATGTTGAGAACCTTCAAGGTGGTGTTGCTGGTGGTTCCATCCTGAAGGGTGTCCTCAAGATTGGCGACAACATTGAAGTTCGTCCTGGCGTGATTATCAAGGATCAAGAGGGCCGCATTCGTGCTCGTCCCATCTTGTCAAAGATTTTGACCTTGGCTGCCGAGACAAACAAGTTAGAGTTTGCTGTTCCTGGTGGTTTGATTGGTGTTGGTACTCAAATGGATCCCACCTTGTGTCGTGGTGATCGTTTGGTCGGTCAAGTTTTGGGTTATCCAGGTACTTTGCCCTCTATCTATACTGAACTCGAAATCTCCTACTTCTTATTGCGTCGTTTGTTGGGTGTCAAGACCGATGATAAGAAGCAAGCCAAGGTTGCCAAGTTGACCAAGGGTGAATTGCTCTTGGTTAACATTGGTTCCGTCTCTACCGGTGGCCGTGTCGTTGGTGTAAAGGCTGATCTTGCCAAGATCATCTTGACTGGTCCTACTTGTACTGAGGTTGGCGATAAGGTTGCTATTTCTAGAAAGATTGAAAGACATTGGCGGTAAGTGAAGGGTTGGAAAAGGATGAGGAAACATGGTAATTGATGCTGTTTTGTATAGTCTTATTGGTTGGGGTAAGATCAAGCGTGGTACTGTTCTGGAAGCAGAAGCAAATTAAGAGATTTATCATAAAATTTAAAACATACATCTTTTTTATCGAGAAATATATAAATAAATTAAAAAAAAGTGTAATCGAATGTAATTTCTTAGAATAGCGTATACTTCTACAATAAATTATGCTAAAACGTTGGTAAAATTGGGTATTATACATCAAGACAGTCTAACCCACACCAGTATACACGTTTCATGCATTCCTGTCATATTCATAATGCCATCGTCTAATGCCATAGAGCTTCGCCGCTTGAATGCGTCGTTCTGTAGTGATGATGACTACTTGATTCAGGGGAAGGGCGCATCATGCTTTGCTCTTGGCTCACATCCTGGTGCAGTTGGATATCCCTTCTTAGGTCTCGTACAGACAGTTTGATGTCATTATTTTAAAGATGGAAGCAGTTATAGATTAGTCTAGCTATGTTGATTCTTTATTTTTTATTCACATTGTCTATTTACATTCAAATAAGCTCATGGATCGAGTTCTTTTTTGTTTGTTTCTTGTGAGGGGGTAAATGTTGATTTGTGGGAGTGTTTTTCTTTTCTTTTCTTGAAGAGGATGAGAGGGAGGAAGGTGTGTGATCATATGTAACAAAAAAGTGAGATAGATTCAGGTGTAAATTAATGAAGAAAAAATGAAGCTGTATCCAGCTTATGAATTAAATAAACTTAGAACCAACTGGTCTTGCTTTGGTATGAGTAAGAGCCATTGCCTCCACCACCATTGTTACTGTAGCCAGAGCTTCCTCCGGCACCATAACCTCCACCACCGTAATTGGAACGACCACTGCCATATCCTCCACCGTAGCCTCCACCGTAGCCTCCACCGTAGCCTCCTCCTTGCTGATACCCGCCTCTGCTAGATCCTCCGTAATCATTGCGGCTTCTGTAATCTCTAGAGCCTCCTCCACGGCCTCCACGGCCTCCACGTCCACCGCCACGACCACCATATGATTCACGAACAATGCTTTCAAGCCATGGAGGGATTTCTTGCTTGGCTTCTTTCAGAAGTTCAACCAAATCACGAGCAATGTTCTTGTTACCTCTGTTAAAGAAAGCTGTGGCGACACCGACATTACCAGCACGGCCTGTACGACCAATACGATGAACATAATCATCCACATCAGTAGGCAAATCGTAAGAAATGACATGTGTGACGTTAGGGATATCTAACCCACGGGCAGCAACAGCTGTAGCGACCATAATTGGAGCCCTACCGGTACGGAAGGCCTCCAATGCATTTTCACGCTCACGTTGAGTACGGTCACCATGGATGGAAGTAGCAGGAAAGTTGTTGGACATCAAAAAGTCGCTCAATGCATCGGCCATACGCTTTGTTTCCACGAAAATCAGTGTCAAACCCTCTGCCGAATGAGATGGCAAGATATCCAAAAGCACTGAACGCTTATCTTCATCCTCCACGTATTCAATCTTTTGAGTAATGTTCTCTGATGTGGCACCTACACGACCAACAGAAAGAAAGACGTATTCCTTCAAGAAATCGCGAGCCAGCATTTGAATGTTTTTGGGGAATGTAGCAGAGAACATCAGCGTTTGACGATCCTGAACACCAGGCATATTTTCACCTTGAACAATGCGACGAATTTGAGGCTCGAAACCCATATCAAGCATACGGTCAGCTTCATCCAGAATCAAAAAGCGGACCTTGGAGAGGGAAACACGAGCACGTTCTATCAAATCAACCAAACGACCAGGAGTAGCGACAAGAACATCGCAACCACGATCAATTTGACGGAGCTGTTGACTAATATCAGCGCCACCATAAACGACACAGGGGCGAACCCAAGATCTATAGGCAAACTTCTTGGCTTCATCAAAGATTTGAGAAGTCAACTCGCGGGTAGGAGCTAAAATCAAAGCTTCTGGGTACGCCTTACGAGCACGGTAAATACCAGCTGCATCATGACTATCTCCAGTTGAGCTAGGAGTAGGCCCCTTTTCAAATAGGCTAGACAAAACGGGGAATAGGAAACCGCCAGTCTTACCAGAACCTTTACATATGTTAGATACACTTTTCCGCCTTACATCAAAGCTGTGCAGTCTTACCAGTTTGAGCGCATGCCATGAGATCACGATTGTTCATGACAATAGGAATTGAATACTTTTGAACTGGTGTAGGAGTAGTGTATCTTGCCAATTCAATGTTACTCAGCAAATGAGGATCGATTGGTGGAGAAGTAAACTAAAATACGTAAAAAGAAAATATAGAGGAATCTTAATATACAAACAATGACACGTTGTATGTAATGGATGCTAGTTAGTTACCTCTTCGATGGGAGCAGGAACGTCTCTGCCTGATGCCTCAACAGGAATATTGTCGTACTTGTCAAAATTGATACCAGTATGTGTCGTCTCCTTGTCCTCTGGAGTACCAAAAAGCTCCTTCTCAAGATGATGGTTTCGAGGGCCAATGTGATGAACACCATCCTTCCAATAGCCTGCACCATAATCCCTTCTGTTGCTATTGTTGCCTCCTTGATAGCCTCCTCTACGACGATAGCCACCATAAGAGCCACGTTCATCAAATTGAGCACGTCCACCGCCACTGTATCCAGAGCTACTTGAACCACGGCCACCGCCCCATCCTCCACCTCTACTAGAACCTCCAAAATCAGAGTAGCCATCTCTCCAGCTATGTCACAAAGGTCAGTCTTCAAACTAACAGACGCCCCTTATATATATATATCAATCAAACTGAATTGATCGCTTACCCAGGTCTAGGAGCAGGCTTATCCCAGCCATTGTTGTTGTAATTGCTTGCACCACCGTCTTGTGCATAAGCTCTGCCACGAAGATGAGGAGGAATGTAAGCTGCCTTTTGATAACCACCGCTGTTATTGTTGCCGCCGCCTGTACGAGTATGATCGTTCAAGCCCATACCAGCTGAGGATACAAAGCGTGTTGTTAATTCAATGATTGCATGTGCCATGTATTTCATCAGATACTTTACCCATACGCTCATTCAAGCGATGTGAATCATTATTACCATCAGTCATGATATTAAAAAAGTAGTATGTAAAAGAAAGAAAAAGGAAAATTAAAATCATCCAGCTGTAGTTGAACATTTATAACACTAAATCAATACTGCGATTTCCGTTTAAACCCACTTTATTCACGTTGGATAGAAAAACTTGGTTCTGATGTGTGATTCTAACGATACTAAAGGCCACTAGTGTTTGCTGTAGTAAAATCCATAGACACTATGTATTTTTCTGACAATTATAGTGAGCATGTAATTGAATCAAAGGTAGACATGTCAAGTGGAAATGTCGCTGCTAGCTGCATAATAATTAAGCATTTATTTGTACGAGAGCACCTAAAAGCCCAGCGCTCTGATGTATAGATAACGAAATTGAAGCTTGAAGAGAAGATGAATGTCAACTGGATACCACCAATTTCTATTTCAAACCAGTCTCATGCATAGCTAATTGCTGTCGCTCCTTCAGCTGGCAGTTGTAATCCTTCTAAAGATGTTCGTTTTGCATTGCCGCAACAAATATGTAATAGGATTGTCTAAAACAGTCATCGCCTCTTCTGAGAGAGCTAAACCTCGACACGTTAATAGCATATCAGACAACATCCAGCCTATCAGCCTCTTTTATCAGCTATATGAACAGCTATTATGTTGATAATGTGAAGGGCATTGATTTAGGCAGCAACCAGCAGCAGCCGCCAAAATTATTTCAATCTCAGTTTGGCGTCTGCTCCAGATTGGCCATATTTTGTTTAAAATCGACTTGATTGATCTCTTTTGCCAGATCTGACTATACAACTTGTAATGATCGTCGCATACCCCCCTTACGCTTTCTTGAAGTATTTTTCAAAGCGCATCTGATGGTACCAATTAGAAGAGATGTTTTGAAAGAACTTACTGGGCAAATTTAGAAAATGTGAGATAGCTATTTTGATCAGAATGTCCAAAACTCACATACCAAGGCCGCACAATAGTCATTTCAGGGATTGCATTGAATCGATAGGATCATTTTCAACTAATATATGCCTTAATAAAAGTCTGCATTTTGCAGGTCAAAAACGCGATTGTTTGAATTTCGATGATTTTCATGAGGGGTACCTCATGCTTTTTGGGCGATTTTCGTCGATATTTTTTGGGTCCCAAAAAGTTGAGCAAATGGCTCAGAAAGCAAGTGCTAAAAAGGGGTAATTGTATTGTGCTACTCTGGAGATCTAAATCAACTTCTAGCGCGAGAAATTACGGCTCGAATACACACAAAATACACTGTGGTTTGCATACTTTCGAGCAGTAGGAGGCATTGCATCTATGATAGAGGCCCGCATATGGATTAACCCCTCTGATAAAGACGTGATGTATCGTAGGAGAATCAGATTGACAGCACATATCAATGAATCATGAGACTGAACTACTATTCCTATCAACTGCAGCACTGGTATTTCGATACTCGGGGCTCGTCTGCCTCATTCTTTGTTCATAAGCAATTAGAGGCTCACTGTAGATCAATATTTTCTGGATAAGGTTTGTTTAGATCAGTCGACCATCAGGAGAAGTCTCTGGAGAAAGCTAATTCTTGCACAAACCAAAAAATAAAGGGTACAGAAATAAGCATATATATATTTTTTGCTCACACAACGCATCAGATGCCGATCTTTGGAAGCTATTTTAGTCAGAAACATCGCAAGGAAACTACATTTACTCGAGATCTGATGGATTAATGCCAGAAGGCCGTATCATTCAACGAACCCTAATACATGATCTCTTTAACAGCTATAGCAACTACGAAATACGGATAACAATACCTATCTGCTTTCGTAAACCAACGCATGAATACAGTACTGTATGTTTATTTTGCGAAATGTCTAAACTTTAATCAAACTACTTCAGGCATTTTAGTACTGTTTAAAACGAATTTTGTAAACGAACTGTGGAATGACTTGCAGAATTAGCTCTTCATGCAGAAATTGCCAAGATATGCTTCTGTCAAACCTAAAGCATCATAAATATATGCCTTGAATTCTCAACTATATCATTTGTTTGTTTTCGTCGCTTTTTTGTTAGGAACGAATCTAGCATTTAAGTCTATATAAATGGCAGAGATTGTCCCAAGTGTACAACACTATCAGCTTCTTTACTATGCTTCTTACTCGTTTGATTCCTGCTGCTTTATTGGCTTTTCTTCTGAGGTCCTCTGTACCTCGCTTCACAATCGGTGGGTGTTCCCTGAAGGAGCCGGCAATGTCAAGGAGATCAAGTCCTCTGTTCGCGTGCCTCATGGCTCTGATCCCGAGCACGCTTACTGGATGGCTAATGGATTCAATCAAGGCTTGTTTTAACTCTTGAAAAAACAATAACCCCCTCTTACTCCAGCATTTGATTTCAATATAATATAGGATACATGGGAATGCAACATAACTCTGGTACTGAAAGACGTATTCTATTCTCAGTCTGGGATGATGGTAAGGGAAGCATTGTTGATCTCGTTGAAAAGAACGACAATGCTATCGCTGAAGGCTTTGGCGGTGAAGGCACTGGCGCTCACGCCTACGTTCATTACAACTGGACTACTGAGGAAACTGTCTTCTTCAGAGTTATTGCAGATGTTGACGAATCTAGAGGTGGTTCTACCTTCACTGGCTATTACAGCACTGACCTGGGGAATACCTGGGAGCTAGTCGCTAGCTTCTTTGCTCAAAAGCAACCCATTTGGCTCAGATATCCTTACGATTTCTTGGAAAACTTTGGCTCGTATCAATCTGCTATTCGTGAAGGCTTTTACGGAAACTACTCCATTACGGATACCGATGACAACACCTACAAGATTGACAGCACTTACTTTATTCGCACCAAGCTTTTGAAGCCCACTGATCTCTGGAAGCAAAAGATTGTTGGTGGTCCGGGTAACGAAATCTACATGCGAATTGATGGCACGAAAGAGCAAGGCATCTATCGCCCTCCCTCCAATCCTCCAACTCAAATTGCCTAGTAAACGCTTATTTGTTTGTTTATTGAGGAGCTAATATCAATGCTAGTTCATCTTGACTTATGGAAATAGGTGAAGAACATCTAGTGTAGATGCTTGATAAGACTTCTTGCAGCATCGTTGTTGCCCACCTAAATTAATTTACTACATTAATAAATCAAACATTCTATACACTATATCCTCCTTACTTTTCATCGCCTACAAATGGCCAAATGATGCGTTTGACGTATTCTACATCCACTTGAATCTGTTGGTAGTTGACAGTATCCATCAGAACTTCACGCACAATCTCCAAGAATGTTTTGAGCATGATTAGGATCAGTCCTGTGCAGACGCCTATGGGCGAGGGATCGACTTTGCGATATACATCTACCCTTTCAGCAAACAATTTGTCAATGTTGTTCATTATACTGAGTGCCATGTCATTGCCTCCTAATTTTGTTGTGCCTGTTGGTGTCTCTGAAATAGACGATACAGTAGCTAGACTGTGTGTTGATGGCACCATATGGCGAGAGTAGGGGCTAGCATAGTCATACTCTGGATCCGCCGCTGTGGCATTGTCATCCAAGGAGACTCGAGTTGAGAGAGCAGGCTGCTCTTGAGGAAACAAGGCCTCTACCAAGCGCTCTGTGTACTTGAGCCTGTTGAAGCAATAGTGCCAAATCTCAGATACGTGATCTACGACGGTAGCTGAGGTTGCTGGCTTGTATAGGTAGGCTTCTTGAATTCTACTCGATATACGGTACCCCTCTTGCATCATTTGTTTGTTTAGCAATGTTTGCCCAGTCTTTAGATAGCACTCAATCATTTCATTCATGTCTGGAATCACTCGAGGATCCATATTTGCATCCAAATCAGGTGATCTATAGATGGCTTCCTTTTGCTTTTGTTGATTTTTGCAGAATTTGGATGAAAACGCCGAGTACATTTGGAATATACCATTGTCTGCCAAATCATAGCAAAGCCGCGACCCCACCAGCATGATGATTTGCAGTGATTGTGTATCCAATTTGGATGTTTTATGAACATTCTGCGTGCCAAACGTCAGTCTGTAGCTATCCCCATGTTCAAAGCTCGCGTTTGACATTACCTCGAATCTACTCGCTAGCTTTTGCCACACATACTTGATGCCCTGTTGAATACGAGCTAATGTCTCTTGTTGAGTGATATCAAGACATTCCTTGAGGGGTAATAAACATAGCTTAATCAAATGATCTACCAGCCATGTTTGAGTATCTTGAATAAATCCAGCCATGCCATTTGTATCAAAATCGTCGTTGTTCGATGTTTCTTGTAGCGATGTGATGAATGTGTTGATTCTATCTCTTAATCCGGCTAATGCTGAATCCAGTGAACCTTGAATAAGATCATTTTCCCATGTGGAACTTAATGAAATGATACGATCGTTCATTTTAGCCACTGAAGATAATGATGGTGTTTGGTTGAGTAGCGATAACCTTAACTCTGCAAGGTGATCTGCTTGTTGCAACGGTGTTGCTAGGGATATATTCAACTAGACGTGATATCAGCGCCAACCCTACATACACTAGCATGTGTTCACTTACTGGCAGTTCAATAAATTCAGTGGCAAGTTCAAAAAACTTGTCCAGATGAGGGTTGATAGCCTCCAGTAAATCAATCTTCGCCTGCTCTTTGTCCTATCATCTTTACTTAATACCAGTATCGTAGATTTCCCAACAACATTCTTACTTGTGCGCTTAGTTTTGCCATAGGCTGGCCATCCAAACCATCTTTGTCATTATGAGTGTCCAAATCAGTCAGAAATAGACTCTCAAAATGATGCACAATATCCTCCAAAGGCATCACGTATACCGCCACCAAATCCTGAATCGACAAAGGACTTGAGTTTGCCGCCTGCTTTTTCTCCAGCATATTCATCTGTATGTCAATGTACTGCTTCCACAATCTATGCGCATCCTCGCCCAACAACACTAATAAACGAGTTTCTTCTGCAATCTTTTGCAAAGTGACATTGGGATCTGTCAGACCAGTCCAAATCTCAGCCTTCACCTTATCCATGATGCTGTTGCAGTCTCTTTCGATGCCCTTGAAGGCCGCCATATGTTGGTAGTGATTTAGCACTTTGGACGCTTTCGAGTAATATTTGACAGCTTGCCCATATTTTCCTTTCACCAAGCAGTGCTGTAATCTGTTGGGTAATTCAAAGATGAATTGCAGTCGTTTGAGTGAGTTGTGGACGTTGGATAATTGCTGGATCTTTTGACGGCTGGGTCCTAGTTCTTTGTTGATAGTTTTGCTCTGCTTGGATATATTTGAGATATTTTCGTTTAGTCTGCTCATTTCGGATTCCATGCTCTCTACGTTTGACTTCATCTACACGCAAATACCAAGTCAGTCCATGTCTGTTGGTCATGCAAGTAAACTTTACTTTGCGAATGGTATCTGTGGCACTGATGAATTTACTGTAGTTTTCATATACCAATGTTTTCATGTCTCCATCAATCTCTCTTATTTCTTATTGTTGTTGTATCAGCATTGGCTTGTTATATCTCTTAATCGATGTTTACCTCCAACTAACTGATTGTCCTTTTCGATCAATCCTTGCAATGTCTTTTCTTTAAGTAATGAGCCGAAATACTTGCTTGAATTGAAGGTATTTCCATCTAACATTGTTCGCTTCAGCTGCTGCTAAGCACAAGTTCATGTTGGTACATTCACTTACCCAAGTCAAACGGTCTTGCATTTTCCTCGGGCTGAGCTGCTGTTGTTGTAGGTGCTGTATCTTTGAGACCATAGTATTTTTTCAGTAAGCTATTTCTCTCACGAGGTTTCGTTGCTCTTCGTGTTGCAGTAGATATAGGCGCGTTGTTGTCCGTCATGTAATATATGCTTGTATAAGGTTTCAAAAAGAGAAAAAGGAAGAGTGTACATTGCAGATGTCGCACATAATCAGGTTGGCAAATGAACCTCTTTGAACCCCGCAAATGCCATTGATCATTACTTGATCACTTTGGGTGGCATATAATGTGCGTGTTGGAAGAAAATACATCTGTGGATCTATTAGTGCAGCTATTGATGTCAATTGTCTATGATATTCACCGCAGCATGTAATGATTTATATTTTAAATTGCTCAAAAGATATAATGACGGCACAACGTTCATGCTGTGCTATAAAATCTTTGTCCTTCTTGGAGAACGCCATACTATCACTCGACGCATTCGGTGTCAAATAAAGCATCAAATGGTGATTCGAGAAATCAATAGCTTTCTTATTCATGTTACAGCTATCCTAATGGCTTGAAAATGTAGCATTAATCACTCACAATGTAATCTCATTGGCTTACATGTCGACTGGGGTGAAATATGCGAGTCTACTAGCACATGTAGCAATGTACGAACAAGAAGGGCGTCGTGTTTTGATTACACCCTTTTTTTTTTCTCTCTCTCTCTTGAAATACAAAATTTACTATGCAATCGTTGAGAAGGTTACCTCTCCAACGTGCTATCAACAGATCTTTATTTATTAACAACCACCATCATGCTCGATATTTATCGCTAGCAAGACCATGCTGGAATGAAAACACAGCCTCCAAAGAAGAGTCTACCACTACTGGCTCAATTGAAAAATTTCGTAAGCTCTTCTCATTTGCTTACACTGCTTGATCTAATAAGCTCCATATAGCTTGGTTGTTGAGCCAAGACTCACCTCGCATTCCTAAATATCCCTATGAAGAGGCACCCCGTGATTGGAGTTTCTTGAATATGCTCCCAATGTCATTACAGCATGTATTAGGAAAATGGTTAGGAACTCGAATCTTACAATTGAACACTGGTTATGACAATTTCCCCGAGCAATTTCTAGTTGGAGGTAATATAAAGCGATTGACATCATCCCGAGCTATAGACTGATTTGATTTATAGCAAGTTTAGCCAGTCGACAAGCTGTCAATTTGTTATCTGATCAAATCAACCACCAGGACAAAATGGAACAATTGCAGCATATTTTAGGACCAGATCTCTTGCACCGTTACTTGGAATCTGTCCCTGCAAACACCAACGTCCACATTGATATTCCTCAAATCTATGATGTGCATCTAGGTGACATTTGGATCACGTTAGGCAACTCGAATGCCTTTTCAGACGAGCGCAAATACGATGTCTTGAGATGGATGACAGTTCAGATTGGATTGCACAAATACAAGGGCAAAAGCGAGCTAGAGGAGTCATTTCAAGAGTACAGAGAACGCATTGCAAAGAGTATATTGGAGGGCGTCCAAGTGGGTGTGGATGTCCTAGTGGATGCTGATGTGACATACAAAGTAACCAACAAAGAAAACGACAAGGATGTGCTCTTGTATGATGAAGGCAGACGAACAATGAGAATGAGATTTGCTACCCCTTACTTTGAGCCAGCCAGCAAAATGGTGTCTGGTAGAGACAAAGAAACCGGCGAGCCTATTAATGATTGGAATTGGCGTCTCGTAGATATAGATCAATTGTTGGAGAAGGAAGCTATGGATGCTGCTGCCAATGATGAATAAAATTATGCGTATGTCTAGTTTAATTGATCATGGTTTTTATTCAGAAAAATAAAAAGCTATGTGTTATCATTGTAAAGGGAAAGTATTGTAGCAGTGGTAGTAGTAGTACATTGGCTCAATTGATGTATGTTTTACAATTTAGGCCTTGACACAGTAAGCCTTACCGTCATCGAGGTTATCACACTCGTGCTTGCCAGGACCGTGGAGACCAGCGTTCCAGCTGTAGAGGTCGGACATGCTGATACCGTTTCTCTTGGAGAAATCACCACACCAAGAATCCTTGGAGGTAACAGTGGAGTACTTTGTACAGGTAGAGATAATGTGTCTAACAGCGTTAGAGGGAGCATTGGCAGGAGTGGAGCTCCAGTTATCTCCGGGCTTGGATTGAGTCTTCTTGGTGGTGGTAGTCTTCTTGGTGGTGGTGGTCTTCTTGGTGGTAGTCTTCTTGGTGGTAGTCTTCTTGGTAGCCTTCTTGGTGGTCTTCTTGGTGGTCTTCTTGGTGGTCTTCTTGGTGGTCTTCTTGGCCTTAGCAGCGGCAATCTTTTGCTTGGCGAGGTCTAACTTTTGACCGGTAAGACCTTGGGTCTTGTAGAACCAGTTTCTCTTACGGAGTCTGTTGTCGACCTTGACACAGTAAGTTTCACCAGCTTGGAAAGCGGAACAATCACCAGCGGGGGCATCGTTGGTAATGAAGTTCCATCTGTACAATTGTTGGAGAGAGACCTTATGCTCAGCAGCAACGGAACGACAGTTATCACCTTCCTTAGCTATAATTTATATGTTAAACTGATGTTTGTTGTATCTCAAGATCCATGAATATTTACCAGTGTATTCTTGGACACAGTTGGGAACGGCAGCTGAGACAGTGGCAACAGCGACGGCGAGAGTAGCTAAAGTGAACTTCATTTTGAGTGAAAGGAATGGGTTGTTGCTGTTGTTGTTGTGAGGGAAGGGGGAGATTGTTGTTAAGGAAAGAGAGTATAAAGAATATAAGAAATGGTATGCTCAACTTGAGGTGATTTATATACAATATCCCAATGCTTGCACTACGATAATTAAACCTTGTACTCTTGATTTCTTGGATTTTTTTCAAACCGCCTTATTTTCCATATTGTCACACATTAATAATTTATTTTAACCACACTTTGATTTCCTTATTCATCTATTTAATACAGCATCTGCCTGTATAAAGAACATGTATTGGACATAAACGAGATAAACATGCAAGCTAAATAGCGCTGTAATTCAAAAATATCGATCCACACTGCTTTATAGCTGATCGTTTGTATAAATAAGCTCATTTGCTTTATTATTATTCTACAGTGCATAGTTACATTTCATTTCAAAAAAGGAAGAATACAGCGTGTCATTGATTCTTCATTATGCTACCTCCAGATTGTATATATTGTGTGTGTGTGTGTGATTGTTTACAGATGGATGTAGACTTCAATTTAGATCCTGGGAGCATGAAATCGAATTTATATGCCGTCTAAATTATTTTCAGGCACAAATCATAGACCTCGCCGTCGAATAAATATAGTATATTGATTGCATTTAACAGCGTCGAGATCTACGTCTTAAATTAGTGCATCAGCATGTAATAAATGTTGTCAAATTGATTTCAGGAGTATTTCAAATCTAGCTTTGACATGAATCATGACAAGCACATGCACAGATGTTACTTGAGTGATTCTGCAATGAAATGTTGTTTCTGTCTGTCGTACTAAATGATACGACCCCTCCCTCTTCTTTTCCATTATGTCTATTCAACCATTTCATATCTTATATTGACCGGTGCTCTGTAGCCATAACTGACTAGGTTTGAATCAAAGGAGACAAACTATATAAAGACTATACTACTTGATATATGATCTAAATGCTTGTTCCGTGGTGCATATATATATATATATATATAGATATATATATAGATCCAATTTCAATCGTATTTAGAAACTAGACAGTATCAAATAGCAATACCAAGACATCTAAAGCAACAATGGGTATATGGAACGAGGATTCGTTCAGTTTGTATGACATACAAGTCTGTATCACAAAGTTTTTGATTAAATTTGATTTGACTATTTTGCACCTTTTGTTGTTTACTTGAGTCGAATGAAACCATCCGTTGAATAAGCTAATAATATCTAGCAATGCAAAATTGTGCTGCATAGTAGGTAATCATGACTATATATTCACATCTTCTGTCGGGTGCACGATACAAGAATTTGTCTAAGGCAAGTGTAGCATCAGATATAAAGAACAAGAACACACCAATAGAGAGATTTGTATTATCATTCATAAGGGCATAATACACCATAAATGTGATCACAATAATATACACAGCCACCGCAACAGTCATCACAATGCCGCCCTCTTGGAAAATGCTTGGGTACAAGAATGAAAAGTACACTGACGCAATTGATAAAAGTCCAAACAAAGCACTGGCCTGATCTCTCTTCTTTGTGTTATAAAACATGTAAATGTAGAAAATGTGTGCGGTCAAGAAGGATGACAAGCCCAAGATGAACATTTCCTCACCAGCAAACATCAAGAAGATATCGCCAAGTAATGAGAAAACCAATCCTGCGTTATGTCTAAGTACAATATTCCAAATTCATGCAAAATTGCGAAGTTTACCTGCTAACTTGGCGTTATTTCGAACATTATCTGATTCCAATCCAACACCAATAATAAGTAATGTTGTAATAGGCTTCAACAGATATTTGACATAAAGGCTATCTGTGTAGATGACACAGAAGTATAATAGAGACGATACAAGTACAAGGTTTGAAAGCATTGTTGGTTGTTGATACGACTGATGCGTGGTAAAAAAACAAACCAAGTATTTATATGAAGTTTACATCGTGAACATTCATGGTAATGAATATCAGGATGGGTACACAAATGTGACCGGGTGTACTCATAAATGACTAAGTTTAAACATGTCAAATTAAGAATATATGCCCTTATGCTCGAATGCACAAGTAAGCTAATGCAGATATGTCATTGAATACCGTTCTATATGATTAGAGATAGTGGCTTCGTGTACACAGCTAAAAATGAATACGCAAATTACTGTAATGCACTACTTAATGTAGTTGTACATTTTAAAATTTAGATAGATCATGCTGGATCAGAGGATGTGCTTTGCAGGCTGACATGAAATGTCGAATGTATGAGGAGTATGTATTTGATCTGAAGTAATTGCAACGTAAACATATCACACTCAGTTTTAGTTTGACAAGATATACTTCTGGCAAAATAAAATAGTTAAATTATACAGATGCTCATACTTGGATGCAAGGTTGCTGTTGAAAACGGAGCATGCATGCAACAATGGAGGGTAATGATAAAAAATGCTGCTACATGCACTACTTTTTAATGTAGGAAAAAATATCGTCGCCTGCAGGGTTTGAACCTGCGCACGCAAAGCGTATGAGATTTCAAGTCTCACTCCTTAACCACTCGGACAAAGCGACCATATATGAAAATGTCGCCTTGATAGATAGATGGGATGGTAGGAGTTAACAAATAACTTAGAGTGTAACTAATAGATTGAGATTATGTTCGAAGATACTGTTTATTGATTGCATTTACAACTTATATTTATACTATTTCTACGATCGATAATTACTTAATCAATAAAACTTTCAAGTAGATATAGCACTTGATATAGCAACTAATAATCAGATCAATGTCTGCTGTTATCAGTTTCCAGAACCTTCGAGTGATGAATTCGTAATAATAAGTCGATGATAATAATCAGTTGTCAACTGTATCTAAAACGAAAGCAAAGAGCTTCTTTATTACAGGGCATCTAGCTTGCTTAAATATGGTAGATCCCTGGCCAATGACTACTACGTTGAGATGGTATATAAATAGCAGGCCACTGGGGCCTTATGGATTGTTGGTATAGCTTGTTGAGAGGCCACCTAAGTCGATACGTTTCATGTAGTGTAGGTGAATCTCGATATCTTGACATTAGGGAGATTGAATGTGTTGTAGTTCCTGAGGCACCTGTGCACACACAATTGACTGGACTTGTAAACATAGATGTTGCAGTGAAATCAGGTTTAAATAGATTTCACAAAAAAAAAATAAAGCAAAGGTAAAATACAATAGAAATCAACTGTATTTTATTTTGTGTATAAAATGAACTGAAGATCCTGGAATTGAGTAAAAAAAAGAAGAGTATTTATACATTTGCATCTGGCTTGTAGGATTAGTGATGATAGAGAGCAATAGGTGCTGCTATTGCGATATCTGGCAAATGTTGTTGATGTTTGATTTAAAGTGGTAGTCAATGCAGGAGCACTGGCCATAAGGGTCGATTTGAGTAACCTTGATGGGCTTGGGTGAGCTATCGTCATAGCATGATTTAATGTAACCTTGATGGTTTAAAGTGTGATGTTTGTTATTGAAGCATGGAATCCTTTATCTGGGATATTGTGCAACTATGGCAGCAGGGCATAGTTGTCATATTTGAATATGCTTGTTATTGATTTAATTCTATTTGGATAAAGATACCATCACCTATTACGACCATCATGGGTGTGATTGAATACACTGTGATCAGGAGTGATTCATTCACACGATGTGCGATATAAGCGTGTATCTTTACTTTAGTATTTTTAAATGGGTTTTTGATGTACATTTGAGCGCTTTCATTAATAGATCCAAATAGCATGAATTTGAATGAGTGCTATTTGATGAACTTTGGTTTTCAATTAAGTTGCGTTTGGGTGGCTATTTCATTACATTGCCCCCAGCCAAACTTTTTGTGGGGAAAAGTTGACAGAGATATGAATTTAGACGACCAAACGTGATTTGATTGGAACATGTAGAAGGAAGGAAGACATAGATATAAGCAAGAGCAGAGAAACAAATGCCGAAGGCAGTGGAGGAAGGAAAGCTGGAAGCTACTAATGTTTGCGGCGAGTGTTTTCGCGGCTTGTGTGATCAGTGCCTGCTTTTCGCTTGTTACCAGCCTGTTTTGAGGGGCGTTTGTTTGTAGGTAGTGGTGCATGTCTTTGATGTTGCAGTTCCTTGTTGAGCTTGACCTTTTCCCAGTATTTTTTGATTGGAATGGGAGAGGAGAACAGATCAGCTGTAATGTATTCATTTTCACGTTCAGAATAACCAGCCCATTTAACTAGGTATTCGATCTCATCATCATCGCGGTAGCGATGATCGCGAATGTCCTCAACTTCAAAGATTTCGTCTTCAATGGTAGTTTCATCAATGTTGACAGGTTTGAGTTCAGAAGGAGTATATTCACGATGCATGAGAGAATTGGTTTCGTCTTTTAGAATGTAATTGCCAGCTTGGGTACGCTTGACAACGAAATATGGGCCAGCATAGAGAGGCGCGAGTTTGGATGAACGACCTTCTTCAAGGCGGACCATGACAGGAGAGTCAAAGGCTAGTTCAGGTAGGATGTATCGACGTTTATCCATACGCTTATTGTATTCCTCAGCAAGCCGTTGTGTACGCTCTTGGAGAGCAGGAAACACGATGGTATTCATGTGTTCGATACGCTGTTGGAGCTCTTGAATGGATAGTGCAGGACGTCCATTGAGGTTGAGTTTATTTGGATTGGGATTGACGTTAACTTGACGAGCAAACATGAGACTGAATGGGGTACTGGCAGTACGCTCTTTGACTTTCATGTTGAGTGCAAGTTGGACGATGGGTACGCGATCATCCCAGTTATGCGTGTCATTACCACACATTTTGCGTAGCGTATGCTCGAATTGTTTGATAGCGTTCTCAGCACTACCATTGGATTGTTTGTAGTAAGGAAGAGAATGTCGCTGCTTGATGCCGAGCGTTTTTGTGAAGTGATCCATGAGATTGGATTTAAATTCCTTGCCGTTATCAGCTTGTTGGACGCTAACAGCAACACCATAGTCACCATAGATGGATAGTATGGCTTGAGCGACTGTAGCGCCATTTTTGTTAGGAATTGGACGAGCTATAATGTAGCGAGTACAGAGATCAATCACAACTAGCACATAAACATTTCCCTTATCGGTGATCGACATAGGACCTAAGATGTCCATAGCAATGTGATCAAAGGCGTCAAAGCTGACGATGCTTTTAGCAGGGTTGAAACCTCGACGAGCGAAGTTGTGCTTTGCACATTCAGGACATGCTTTAAGTATTTCCTTGCAATCAGCGTAGATGGTGTTCCAATGTAAACCCAAATACGTGTGGATATGTTGAACCACAGACTCAATGCCAAAATGGCCTATTTTATGTGCATCTTTGATGATTTGAGCCCGATCTGCTTCTGGAGGAGCAATGTAATCCGTTGTAGAATTCTGGAATTCTTTGCCATTTAGTTTCACAGCAAGTACGTTGAGATTGCGGTCCTGAGAATAGACTGTGCGTTGACGGTTTACTTCAATCTTTTTGTTGGTGTCCCTTTTGATCAGAATGAGCTTATGCAATTTTCTCATCTGTCGATCATTTTCATCTTCCAGCCATTTGTCTTCATCAATTATTGGATATACCCTTGAAAGAGCATCACAGAGAACATTTTCAATGCCTTTCACATGTGAAATTGTGAAGTGAAATTCTCCCAAGATTTCCAAGTAGCTCTGGAGCGTACTGTTTAGTGAAGTAGATGTGAACATGTAGGTCAATGCCAAATGATCGGTCAGGACCTCGATATCATTATGACCCCACAGTAGCGATCTAAATTTGATGAATCCAAAGACAACAGCGGCACACTCTCTACGGTTTGTATACCAGTTGCGCTCAGCTGAATTGAGAGATCTGCTAACAAATGCAATGTGCTTGATTCTACCCAGTTTATCCTTTTGATAAAGACAGGCAGCGATGCCATAGAGACTAGCATCGCATTGGAGGAACATTTTGTCGTCCAACACTGGAGCATGCAGTATTTGGTTTGAGAGCAGTATTTGCTTGATGGTATTGAACCGATCAGTATGCAATTGTGTCCAATTCTTTTTTACGTCACTGTCATTTCGAAGACTATCGATGGGCTCAGCAACCTTGGACAGCATGGGACAAAAGTTTCGCAGATGGGAAACGACACCCATAAGCGAGCGAACTTGTTTTGCAGTTTTGGGAATGGGCCATTCGTCTATGTCAGATAAACGACGCATATCAATCTTTTGTATGCCAGGTCCAACCACAAAGCCTAGTAAAAAGACTGATGTCTGGAACCATGAACATTTTTTCACATTGATGCGCAGGTTGACGGATGTCAAGCGATTAATGGCAAGATTGATAAGCTTGATGTGGCTTTTCTCACAGATACTATGCAGGACACAGTCATCTATGTAGTGTTCGATGCCACCCCATACTTTGGTTGGATCAACTTGGGAAGGATCCATGTTCTTTTCCATTTCGAATTTTAGTTCGTCGGATAAACCAGTGAATAAAATTGACATGCATTTTACGAACAGAGAGCTCATAAATTTTAGGCCAAAAGGGGCCCTACACCATCTGTAAAAAATGCCATTATGCGAGAATATAAGGGCATTGCGAGATGCTTCATGCACACCATACGAATAGTATGCTTGGTGTAAGTCAATTTTACTTATTATGCGTGCGCTAGAGGACACTCGTTCAAAGATTTCGTGAATCTTGGGAACCGCATAATTTTCATGGTAATTGTCATCAATGGACGCATTGATGCGACGGAGATCACAACACACTCTCAATTTGGTGGGTTGATCGTTCTCATCCTTCTTTGTCACCGTAATCAGAGGTGAATGGAACACTGATGAGGGTTTGCAGCGTTCAACAATCTTATTTTGAAGCCAT